TCAAAAAGAACACTTGGAAAGTTATTTGAAATGCTTTCACTAAGTAAGCATCACATTTACCTGAATGTTTTGGCATTTAAGGCTATCCAAAAGTTGCATTAGATACATGCTTTAAAACACTAATGTTTCTTTCCTCTTTATCCTTTTTCTTAAAAAGATTTATTTATTTATGCATACAAGAATTGGGATGTAGGCCAGAGGTGGGGGGTATGTTGGGAGGATTTAGCAGAGACAGAGTGGGGAGCAGAACAGGCAGATCTACTGAAATACACTGCTAAGGGGAGCAGCGGGGAGACAGGAGAGGTCTGCTGCACCATGTGGGTAGCTCCCTGGCTGGGGATCAACTCGTGCTGTGATAGCTGTGGATAGCTATTAGTGCTGAAGCTTAACTCCTTGCACCACCAGGGAAGCCCCTCTTTATCCCTTTTTTTTTTTTCAATTGAAACACTGAATATAGCTCATCAGCAGAACACTGGTAGCAATGATCTGGGAAACCAAAAATCATACATGCTTAGGTGAAATTTAGGCACTATAAAGAAACATAAAATTCAGGGCCTCCCTGGTGGTGCAGGGGGTTGAGCGCAGTGCTGTGAAACTGTCTGTGGCCTTTGCAGTGCAAGTTTGATCCCCGATGGCCTGGAGCAACCCACATGGTGCAGCAGACCTCTCCTGTCTCTCCTGTCTCGCCCGTGGCTCCCTCCAGCAGTGTATTTTGGTACATCTGCCTATTCTGCTCCCTGCGCTCTCTGGTGAATCTTCTCACACACACACCCCCCACCCCCGTGACTCTGGACTGTACCCCACTTCTAAAAAAAAAGAAACTTAAAATTCTTGAAATAGTTAACATTTCATTTAGTTGTACATGAGCTGTATCTACTTTTTCATCATCTTTCTATTGGCATTGGCCTATTCCTTCTCAAGTAGCAGCATTCAAAAGAAATTTTAAAACAGTTTCTCCTTAAATTATACTACCTATTGGTTTAAAAACACATATAAGTCTCAAGACTTCAAAGTCCAATGTCTACAAGACACTGTAACATATATTTCACCTAAGGAAACAAAGTACTCAACAGATTTTCACACGCACACCCACTACACCTAGACAGATAGACAGATATTTGTGGGTATTTTTCAGGCTGAACAAATCCTGATTCAGATATCATCTTGGATATCTTCTTTCTGCCCTAGGAAATAATGCTATGTACTGGGCAAAATCCTACTTTGTTCCTATGTCTTTCCCCCTATCTTGTGGGATAATGGAAAAAAGATAAATTTTAGAAATAGAAGATGAGTTGAGCTCTGACTCTACCCTTCCCTACCTTTCTTAATATGAGCTACTTAAATATTTAAGCTGTCTGTGTATCAGATTTCTCATCTGTGTAATAGGTAATAATACCAACTTTACCAAAGAAGTTATCAGAGTGAGGAACCAATAAAATAATGCAATATTGAGCTTGTTATTGAGCAGTTATAAGTTATGGCAATGCCTCCCAGTTATAGTTACCAAAGTGGATGTTTGATGATGTCTGCAGACACTGTCCGGCAACTACCCTTCATTTCAGAAAGTGGTCATTCCTAAGAGTTCTAAACATCCCTCCTTTTCTGACTGGCAGGGTAGGGAGATGCAAGATACCACATATTTGTAGTAGAAACCCTATACTTTATCATAGTTTAAAGAGATAAACTCCAAAAGCTTTATTCAAATGATTGCTTTATAAGTTCTCAGTGACAGAGCATATGGGAAACAGCAAAATTCCAAACACGCAGCATTATTCAAACTGCGCCCAAGGATCACATTGGGCAAATGCCTAAAAAGTCTGAAGACGTTCTTAAAATAGCAAAAACAGTTCTACAGTAAGTCCTAATTAAAAACAGAACATCTAATCTAGAGGGGGAGGGAAATAAAAACGATGTAGGAAAATGAAGAAATGAATTGGTAGAACTTTGACAATACAAGAAAAAGGAACTCAGATAATCTGAAAGACTAATGATTCTTAGTCTTTCTTAGTGAGTAGAAAATGGATGTTGAAATCAGAACATCCTATATGTGACCTCTGGATGGATGGATGGATGAATGGATGGATGGAGGAGTGTTTATATGCTGCAAAATAATTAACAGCATGTCTATTTCTGATAACAAAGGAAATCTATGCTAATTTTAGAAAACCTGGGGGAAAATTTTAAAGCTCTACCTAAAAATAATTGTTTGTGGGGCCTCCCTGGTGGCGCAAGGGGTTAAGTCTCAGCACTGTGTAGCTATCCGCAGCTGCCACAGCACAAGTTCAATCCTGGCCAGAGAGCTGACCCACATGGCTCAGCAGACCTCTCCTGTCGGGCCCACTGCTCCCCTCATCAGCGTATTTCAGAAGATCTGCCTGTTCTGCTCCCTACTCTGTCTCTCACCTCCTGTACCTCTGGCCTGCACCCCAGTTCTTATATGCATAAATAAATACATCTTTTTTTAAAAAATTGTTTGTATTCTTCTATGTATGAACATATTACTTTTTACAAAAACTAGTATCACACTGTATATATACATTTTTATTTTCATTTCACTTAACAGTATATTATCAATATTTTCTCATGCCATGCAAAAATGATCTTTAAATATTAAGACATTAAATAACTGCATACTATTTCTTCATAAGCATATATATTATTGTACATATTTGTGATAAAGCATAAGTTACTGAAAAGGCAATAGTGACCCAAAACTGCAGTGTCTAAAACATTGCAGACTGCTCTCTCATGAACAGTCCTGGGGGTAAGGTGAAGACCCTCCAGAACTGCTGTGGCAGCTCCAGGAACTACGGAGTCCCCTCCAAGATGGAGAATTGCCCCACTGCCCCAGAAAGATACCTCAGCTGTGTGGTCCAAGATGGCCATTCATTACATGGGCAGTCCAGTCCACAGGAAGAAGAAAGGTGTGGGGGGAGGGCACAGCCATTATAGTGGTGACATCTAGAAATTACACACATCACTTCTACCCACTCTGTTGGCAGCCCTTGATCACACAGCAATACCTACAGATAAGAGGAAGCTATAAAGTATAAGTAGCTCCCCAAATTCTGGGTAACTAAATTTTTCATACTACAAAGAAGCGGGAAAGAAAAAACTGACATTGGGGGATCATGAGGGTTTCTGTGACTCATTTAGAGTTCTTATGTCATGGTGTAGATTTAATCCCTCTGGTTACTGCTTTTATAACACCTAGAAGTAAGATTCAAATATAGTATGGTGAATACCTACAGTTTTTGTGGTATAAAACACTGGTTTAGATAATTTTTTTTTAAGATTTATTTATTTAGGGCCTCCCAGGTGGCACAAGGGTTAAGACACAACCTATGAAGCTAACCACAGCCATTGCAGCACGAGTTTGATTCCCGGCCAGGGAGCAGCCCATATGTCGCAGCAGACCTCTCCTGACTCGCCCCGCTGCTCCCCTTAGCAGTGTACTTCAGTCAGTCTGCCCATTCTGTTCCCTACCCTGTCTCTGGTGAATCCTCTCACCCCCTGCATCTTTGGCCTGTACCCCAGCTCTTGTATGCATAAATTAATAAATGTTTAAAAAAAGATTTATTTATTTATGCATACAAGAACTGGGGTACAGGCCAGATGTGTGGAGGGTGAGAGGATTCACCAGAGACAGAGTGGGGAACAGAACAGGCAGATTGACTGAAATACACTGCTGAGAAGAGCTGCGGGGGAGTCAGGGAGGTCTGCTGCACCATGTGGGTCTTCTCCCTGGCTGGGGATTGAACTCATGCTGCAGTGGCTGCTGAGAGCTTCATAGGTTGTGCCTTAACCCCTTGTGCCACCAGGGAGGCCCCTGGTTTAGATAATTCTTACTGAATACTGCAGTCAAGAATTTTGTGGGAAGAATGAAAAAAATAACGTAATTGTAAATTGGGGATTTGCAGGATTTTTTTATTAATATAGAATATCATTTTAATAAGGTTACTTATTTTAACATATATGAATATTTCTTAGGTTTTTTTAATAAACGCCAAAAAGCAGTATAACTAAAAATCACTACTCCCTAATTTCCTTTCCAAAACTTGTAAATACTCCATGTTCACATTCTGTTCCTCTGTGGCCACAGTCCTTTGTAACAACACCACATTGTCCCCCCAAAAAAAAAATATTCTCCTAGAAAACTGTGCAGTGTCCACATATCAATGTACTAATTTATAAACAGAAGACATAGATCACCACCCCCAGGCACTCCACCACCAGTCCTATGATTCCCTAGGCTTTCCACTGTATTCCATTTATGGGATCAGATACAAGCTCTGGTAAATGTGCACTCAGATTGTGTTAATTCCGCCATTTGACACATCCTTTTCACTTTAGGATACATCACCGGGTTTTAACATACTAGGAACCATCCTGATATGGGATTCAGGAACACCTATCACTTCCCTCCACATATCAACTCTAGCTTTTCGATTCTTGCCAGAATAAACCTACAAATTCAGTTCTACACTTTCTTGCTACTAATAGCTTCGTTACATCAAGCAAGTTAAGGACGCCATTTCTGTACATCTGCCACAGTGCATACCTATTTCCCTTCACCATTCATTCCTCCCTTTGCTCTTTGAAACTTTTGCTTTTCCTTTCATCTTTGTACCTGTACTTTAAACTAGGCTAGTGGACTCAACAACCATTCACCCCTACCCGGACACCTTGAAAAAGCTCAAAAATTTAGCGAGGAATATGAACTATAATGGTTTGCTTAATTGAGGAAACTTCCCATTAAACTTCAATAGTCAATGGAAATAAGTGGTGAATCTATTACACAGGGATACAACACCCACACAAAATACATGATAAATAATATTTTTTAAATTCCATAAAGTATCTGACTTTAAATATTAGAAAAAGTAATGCAAATTGAACTGAATTCAAGCACTCACACACATAGGAAGTCAGATCCCAATTAGAAAAATTAACTTCTCAAATCTCAGGGAACTCTGATAGTACAGAAAATCTTGCTCCCTAACTATGTGGTGACTCCAGCACCACTGGATATTGAAATTTCACTATTTGTTGAAACAAAGAATCTTCTTTGCTTTTGTTTTCAGTTTAGGATGGGTGAGAATAATGAGGACAGAATGTCCTGGGTGGTAAAGGGTGGAGATAATCATACAAAGGGATCTGGCCTCCAGCCCCCCTCCTAGAGAAGGCAGATGAAGGAAGAGGGTCGCGACGGAATAGGGGATGTAGAGCACCAGGAAATAGATCATCAGCTTCATAGCACCCACATGAGCTGCAGTCTGGGGATTCCAAAAAGCAGTGGTGCTTCTCTGCAGCGTCTGTACATGTCTCCTCAAGGAATTGATTAACAGGGACGCAGACGTCACATTGATGATGAACTGCAGAAATGAACTCAACATTAAAGAGGTCACGAAAAACAAGACGTCTGCATCGATATGAAGCTCCGTGCCATTTCTCCCAGCCATCGATTCATGGGGACGATGGGGTGATGTCTGTAAGAACACAAGATACAGGAGCGTGGTAATAGCAGAAATCAGCACACAGGCCAGCAGCAGCTGGGGGACCTTTGCGGAGAGATTTCATTTCAACAGCAGAAACACTGAGTGTTGGAAGTTAGTGATCTTCACACAGTACAAGGCGTTGAGCAAAGTTACAAACCAGAGGCTATTAGAGTCCAAAAACATCCAACACAACAAGGTAAAAATGGTTACAGGCACTGGCCTTACATCCTTTGGGAAAATGAAGGAGCAAATAACATTCAGAAAAAACAATCCCAGCATCAGAAACCGGTTGATGCCCAAGCTAAACAGGAGCCTGTCGAAACTGGAGATTCTATGGTTTTTCATCCAAGTCTTACAACTGACCACTGCAATAAACAGACTGGCAATGAGCCCGACAAAACTAAAACTCAAGGAGAGAATACGAGCAGATAAAATCATTATGTGACGCATCTTGACTCACTGAGGATTCCGAGTGGTGCTGCCGATACTGGGAGCAGGAGGAAGGCTGGAGTGTGCCAGCCGCAGTGCCCAGCCCGGGAGGACAAGTCCTTCTTGTGTTTCCCTCAGTGCCCAGTGTGGCAAAAGAGTCATTAGTGCGTCAAGAGCCAGCTGCTTTTACTGAATGCAAATCTTCCAAAAATGGCGTTAATACTTCTCCTTCACATCCTGCTTTCCTTAGAAATGCCTCATTATGGCAGCTGAGGTAAACCTGGCAGTGCTCTCCCCAAGACCAGGAGAGCTGCATGGAGGACACAGGGCAGGTCCAAGGCCTTCAAGTCAATTGACAGATTTCCCGTCCCCAGCGTTTCGTCCCTATTCATAGTGAATGCAGCTTTTCTTCACAGCAACCCCAAAATTAGGCAGGAATTCCAAAATCACTCATAGCGCCCAACCACATAGCTACAGAAAGTAAGTCCAACTTCCCTCTCCCCTCCGATCTGTTGTTACAGTCATTGTCTCTAGCTAGGATTCCAGTCATGCCAACATGACCTTTGCATTCCTTAGCACCTACAATGAATTACAGTTTTCGAACAGATCACGGACCTCCCGTTTCATGGTGATTCCTTTACTTTGTATTCCCTCACCAGTCACACACATACAGCGCCATCACAATCATTTGCCATTATCTGCTTTTTCTTGGAAAGTAAATGTCAGTCATCACGCGTTTCCACTGTAGGCCAAGTGCATACTTACATCACACATGGCTATTTCTTGTTGGGCATTTAACCGCCAACATTCTCTGGTCCCAGATACACAGTAATGCTTTGGTATAGGTTTGTGGCCAAACAGACCACTCAACCCCTGATTGCTCCGTAACTGCTGAGGCAGCAAAGGGGACACCATGCTGGTAAATGACACTGGCCAAGGCTAGAAGCGAGAGCAGGGCTATGGCATCTCTTGTCTACTCTAGCTGGTGGCTGGAACCAAGGTGCACTTCCCGTACAGCCAGCACACGCCCCAAACCAGCACGAGACAAAGCATACAAAGTTCTGTTACCAAATTCATATAGGAATACAACGGAAGAGGGTAAGATGGGAAAACTAGCAGGTACAGCGGGGGGAAGACATTCACAAGGCCCCGTAAGACAGACAACAGGAAGGCAAGCCCAGAAGAAGCCCTGAGTTAGAGCCAGGGGCTCACAGAGCCTTTTGCACAAACTAGTGGGCACAGACTGATGCACCCAGCTGAGTTAAACAAGCAAACACAGTGAAGAAGCAAAGCAGCGATGAAAGGGAAGATTATGTTATCACATGGATTTCTACTTCCTTACCTATGATATAGATCACTGCAAAATAATTAAATTACCATGTATATAACAATGTAATTAACAATAATATATAACTAAATTCCACACCTGAGAAAAACAAATAAAATGGGGCAAGATCTAAAAATAAATTTTCAGTGAGGAACTGATAGCTGAGGTATTTCAACCCCCCAGAGGATTCAGAAAACCAGGTCCTTTCCCAAATAGACACCGCCCCCATCACTGTGTCTCGAGGCACAGTAAGACTACTTTCTCCAGCAACACACCCACTCCCAGACACAGCCCAGGCCCAGCATTAATAAATGGCAGACCACAGATGTCTGGGGTCACACCACAGTCTGACATCTCCCTGGAGATGCCTCCAAATCTTGCATAACAGAAATAGAGAAGTAGTTGCAGATGCCACACCTATGACTCTAACTCCACTGACCCTCGGGAAGGCAGCTCTGGTTTCAGTCAGTAGAACCAGAGGCTCCCTCGGGCCTTCCACCTTCTCCACCCACATGCTGGCCTTCAATGAGATGTAGAAAAATGGCAACTTCAGCATTTTCACTGCACTTACTCTGACTCTGCTAGGTCAGGGTAGATTTAGGGATCACAGTAGGAGTAAAAGGGAGAGATTCCTCTGGATTTAACTGAAGGCACCAAGAACCAAATAACAGCCAAACCAAAATTTCTAGTGATGTTATGTTCAATTAAAAGATAGGAAAATCGGGCTTCCCCGGTGGCGCAGGGGTTGAGCGCTGGGTTGCAAAGCTGCCCGCAGCCTCCGCGGCGCCGGTTCAATCCCCAGCTGCTCCCCGGCCACTGGAGGAGGGTCCCGCATGGCGCGCAGACCTCTCCTGCCGCCCGCTGCTCCCCTCAGCAGTGTACTTAGGTCCTTCTGCCTGCTCTGCTTCCCGCTCTGGTGAATTCTCTCACCCTCCCACGCTTCTGACTGTACCCAGTGCTTGCATAAATGAATGAATGAATGAATGAATAAATAAATAAATAAATAAATAACTCTTTTAAGATAAATAAATAAATAAATAAATAAAAGATAGGAAAATCTCCATATCTACACCAGGAGGCAGAATCAAGGAAAGACTGGAACCAGGAGCTCATAGCTGGGCAGAGAACTTATCAAAATGACAGAAAGTAGGAGCATGTGTTCAAGAGGGGGTGGCATGAATTAAAGATCTGGGGTCAGGGTTAGCAAAGCAGATGTCAGCTGACACTGCGTGGATTTCCATAAACTTCCCTGTGCTGAACAGAAGCACAGACCTTCACTAGCTACAGAAATGCCCACTTTAGAGTCCTTGTATTTTAGTGAATTCTGAATAAATATTAGATCATTCTTTTAGGTTTTCCCAGATTACCATTCAAGATGTAATTTTAGGGTATGTCAGAATTCATAATTAGTTAAAATTAGGACTTTTGCAAACAGATTCAAGAGGCAGGCATCAGTTTGAAAGCAAACAGTGTAGACCAAAGATATTTTATTCCTATAATTTTGGAAACAAACACATAAATATAAGAACAATCCTAAAATTAATTCGGGATTCCATACGACCAAATGCCAAGTAGAATGTTGACCCTTCACAAATGATGGCAAAACACAGTCCCATTCACAAAATACAATAGCAGCCACATTTATTGACAGTTTAGTCCATATGGGACTCGAAGCATTTTTCATAATACCTCACTAATTCCTCCCAACAACATATCACAAAATACTACTACTATTCCCATTTTACAAATGAAGAAGGTGAAACAGAGAGAGGTTTAGAAACATACCCAAGACCAGTTCACACTAGGGTGGATGTGGGCCCAGGCTGTCTGGTTTCAGGATCCACATTCTTAACCACAACTATCTACTCCTGAGATCCCATTAATGCTAGAAACAAATTTCAGATCTGCAGTGTGCCCCAACTGCACATATTCACAAATTTGAGAATCCTTCAGGTCTTATGCAACAGTATTCTTATTGATATGTCAGTGCTGCTCAGGTATAGGAAATGAATCAATGTCTATGTAATTTCATCAAAATAAAATTGAATAAACTTATAAAACTGCTTATTTTTTCTTAAAGCTGAAATTTTGAAAGCAAATTTGCTTTTGGCTAATATAAACAAGAGAAACTAGCAGATATTTGTTCAATCTGAAAAATTAAAAATCACTACAAAACTCACTTTAGCGTTATGATAAAGGAACACAGGGACTACTGTAGTAAAATGACTTCCCCAACAAGCTGCGCTAGGCACCTGGTCTCCCTACCAAGGGTCTGCACTTTATCCCACACCTTTAACATTACACCATGGAATTCTGGAAACAGGTCTCCTGCGTGAAATGCTGCTGCTATTGCATAATCGCTTCACCAATTGAGTGCTGCATACAATACTCTGCACTAAATTGCTGGCACACATTCCAGCCTCATGCATTTCTACTTCCTTCTGAAATCAGTATCAGAGCCCACATGTTAAAATCAGAGAAGAAAGAAACAAGCAGGTAATTAATTAATTAATGTAACTCCTCAAGTGACAAAAATTTTGGCAAAGGCATAGAACTAGAATTTAAACCAAGTCTGTAGAATCACTACAGTTTTTTCTATTTACTTCAAATCTACTACATTGTTCATTTACATCATTTATCTATCAATATGGACAGTTAAAACTAGTCATTAGCTCAAAATATTGAGCTGGTAGTTTCTCTGTATAAAGAGTATTATTACTATATTGACATTTTCTAAGATGTTTCTCCCTCTGCAAGTCAATCTTACGAGGGAGGAGTGTTCCCAAGTGGGGCAGGGAAACACAGTGGTGTCTCTCCCTTACTGATGTTATAGAACTGGTAGGCAGAGTCAGGAAGAGCACTGAAGTCCTGAGGCAGGCTGAAGGACTCCCAGACACCCTCCCGTGCCCTCTGTTCCCTCTGTCATTTTAGGGAGAAAGGGACACCTATGATCCATTACGAGCCTTAGGCCACATCATATTCACAAACGTCTGCTTCAGTTTATTATTTCCCAGAATGAGAATAAATGTGTGGCCAGTGGGATAAAACATTGTCATTGTTTCTCCAGTCAACACAATCACTTTAGTTCCTGGTAGGAAACGACTAGAATATGCAATTAAAAAGGCAATAAAATACAGTAGGAAAAGAAAGAGGAAGGAGAGGATGATTTTGATGGCCCTCTTGTGGGCTTCAGTGCTTGGGTCACTGGAGCTGGTGCCATTTTGCTGCATCTGCCGTGTGTGCCTCCCCAGGGAGAGGATGAGCAGAAAGGAGGAGGCCAGAGACACAATTAGGGGAGGAAAGTTCCACAATGTTCCAAGAACGTGGAGCATATCATATTCACTTTTTTTCCTGACGTGCTCAGTCATATTCCTTGGGACATCACTTCCAATCAAAGCAGAATAGATCTTAAATTCATGGATCAGAGACGTGGCACTTGCACATGACAGGAGCAGAGCACCCAGCAACATCCATGCAACCAACCTGGAGACTCTCCACTTGAGCCACAGGAATGTGGGATGAGAGAAACTGGCAATTTTCAGGCAGTAGAAGGTATTGAGACAGGTGACAAGCCAAATGCTCATATGATTTGTAAATGTCCACAAAATATCAATAATTTGCATTACTCTGCCTTCTTGGTGCACTTTATAAAAGAACATCGTTAAAATGCTATCAAACAATAGAATAGACAGCAAAATAATCCTGGAGAGAGCCAGTATAATGATGATGAAGTCAGACAAAGAGATTCTCTTGCTCTTGAGCCAACTACTGCCATGGACCCACACAATAAAGTTGTTCCCCAGCATTCCTAGAATGAACTGTGTGGTGGACAGAAGCAGAAACATGCAGTCCACGAGTCCCATCATGTCAGCTGCTAGGCAGGCCTGATCTTCGTTCTTCCTGTTGATGGGCAATCTCCTTGCCGATTTGAAATTTTTCTCTCAGTTTACCTATGGCTTCACAGTACCTGTTACTTGCCTCTGCCCAAATGAGGCTGCTGTAGAGCACGGTGTAGTGTGTTCCCTCTGCTTCTTCCCGGTTATACTGTCCTCTTCACAGATGACATGGATTGTCACGTTCCAACTATGATTGAAACTCAGAAGCTCTTTGCTAACATGCAAATGGAGTAGTGTCTGGTGTCACACAGAGAAGGAAGAAATCTGAGTGACAGCGAAGATGGAGGCCTTGGGCTCAATTTCAAAAGGGAGTAGAGTTCTGAGCCACCCAGAATAGAAAGGTGAGTGTCACCAGAGAGTCATACAGCGTCTCTTAAAGAGTGAGAAATCTCAGTTTTCAGGAGAGGGGGCGGCCTCTGGGCCATACACAGAGAGAGGAAAAGATCAGAATTCCACCATAAGGTTTCACCAAAGTTACACTGAAGGGAGATTTAAGTGCACAAATTAGAAGCTCAGTCGGTGCCATTGGCGCTAAACTAGAATTAATAGTTGTCCCTCTTGGAGGATCAATTACATAAGAGAACTCCAATTTCTTCCCTATGAGCTGTGTTATCAGAAATTATTAATGATATAAATATTAAAATAATCACAGTAAGCTCATATCTGGGATCCCAGAAAGGAGGGTTAACCACAGTGCCACAAACATGACCTAGTCCCCCACAGCACATCCACAACATTGGCTGGCTCCCTTTGCCCCTTCTATACCCTAGTGACAAAGCAACTGCTAATACATGCCTCTGACTAGACTCCAGGAACCTGGATAGAACATGTACTCAGTGTTGCTAGCCCTGGCCAAGGAAATCCCTTCTCACTACGCCTGAAACAACTGTAATCATCTTTCCTTCAATGCAGCAGCAAGTGTTCTGTGAATCCCCCTGCAAGCACTGGGATTCAGGACAAATTTTACATCACTTAGGTAAAGGACAGACTTTAGAGAGTGACTGAAATTCCAGTTGCAGCAGCAATGAAAGCAAGGCTGCTCCTCACCCTCCTGTGATTACAAAGAGGGACCCAGGGCGGGCTGGATGAGCAGGGTACTCCTGCATGCCAGGGAGGTACCCCAGTCTCCCTATTACTCTCACTTCTTGTAATTAAATTCTGAAAGCAACTTTGTCAATAGGAAAATTAACAGCATGTTTGTTCAGTCTATAAATACCTGTTTTGGGGAAGTCAGTTATTGTAAGAATTGTCTGAAAAAGCCATCTAACCAACTCCCAGGGAATTTTTGAGCTGTGGGAAGTTACAGTTCCCACTGATGGAAGGAGAAAGTCACCAATTTGGGGGGAAAATAGCTTATGGGCCACTCTCTGTTAGGAGAAGAGGCAGAAAGCCTCTCTCCCCAGCAAGCTTGTTGTACAGGCAATCTCCATAGAACTCCTAGTAGCACTTGAGAATTACCTTCTTCATTGTGCTATCAATTTCCTTTAAGAACAGTGATCATATTTCCATGATTGTCCAGCACTGTCCTGGTATGTTACTGTCACTCCAATTAATTATTAATAATGTCCCTTTCAGTGTTAATCTCACTGAATACTCAAGCTCTGATCTTAGTGCTTAAAATACAGCAGACCCTCAATAGATGTATATTGAATAAATGAATTTTCTTGATGTACAATTCCATAGGATTTTTGCCTTCAAATTTTATATTTGTTTTTTAATGTTATTAGGTTCCAGAAACTGGAACAATGGAAAATTAAGATCCCTGGAAGATATATTCTATTTCAGTATCTGTCATTCATTCCCCTAATACTTCTTGAGCCTCTGCTATGTGACAGGCACTGTATTGTGCAAATAATTATGGATGAGTAAGCAAGAGACACTCTGCAAAAAATAAATAAAACGACATGATGATGAGTTAGAAAATAATACAGTGCTTAGTTTTATATGATACATTGTTTTAAAGTATCTACCATTTCACTTCATTTTCAATACATGAGATGAATTCTATCATTCCTTGTCCCCATTCTTTAAGAAGACACTAAGGTTTGGAGATTTTCATAGAGAAGAAGTGGCAGAGCAGAGGATTCTAACCCAGGCAGCCTGGCATCACATTCCATCATCTTAAAGATCTTAGAAGTCACCTATTGATGTGACATCACAAGACACAAAGTAAACAGTGGGACCTGGAACAGAAATATTGTCAGGGGACACAATCTCAGATCCCCTTTTATATGTCATACTGTTTCATTTGTTCTGGGTTCTAATGGCCCCCACAAACTCTAGACATGGGCCACAACTCAAACCAACTGGCTTTTAACAAGAACCTATACAAGCCATTGGGTCTCATACTGTCTGTAGTATCATTCCTCATTTATCTATATAGCACATTTTGTCAATTATATGCCACTATGGTAAACTAGAAAAACTAGGGTAACTGTGTCCTTGTCCTAGCAACACTTTTAGCTAACTATGTAACATTAGGCAAATTTCTTGATCATCCTGACCCTTAGGTTCCAAGTAAAAAAGGGATGACAAAATGGTTGCTATGAATGAATGCCTTAAGGGCCTAGGTTCTGGATCAGATCTGGATTTGAATCTGAATGTCACTGCTCATCAGTTATGTGACCTTAGGAAAGTTAGTCTCCCTCAACCTCAATTTGCTCATCTGCAAAACAGGCATAATATTTCAGAGTTGTTAGTAATTAAAGACAGTACCTATAATGTAAACTACTGGAGCATTCTTTAAATGTTAGTTATCATCAATAGGGTATAGTGATACCATAACCTATATTAAACAGACCACTTTTATGTGAACTTCTATTTAATGCAATACCTATTACATATAAAGTAATACATAATATATATGTAACTTATGAAAAAAACAAAATAAGCACTCTGAAGCTTACCACCCACCTTATGAAAATATCACCCGTACTAAGGCATTTATCTGTATGCTGCTTCCATATTCTCCCCCTTTCCTTCCCCCACTTTGGTGTGGTAACGAATCTTGAGTGTTGAATTCATCTTTGCTTACCTTTTTGAATAGTTTTATCATATTCAAACATATCTATAAACATATTTACTATAAACATATTTATGTTTATCTATAAACATATTTACTTTTATTTGCTTTTTAAGCTTGGTAAATTACTATACAAATATCTTGTGCAAAACTCATATTGACTGAATGTTTCTAAAGAAAATTCTTGTTTAGCAACAACACACATTTACACTGCTGTATAGTATTCCACCATGTATTTATCCATTTTTGTTGATGAAGCTTTGATTTCCAGTATTGTACTATTATGTATGTTGTTGCTATGGACACCCTTCGAGATGTTTCTTGGGACACAGGGACAGCAGGCACTTTAAAGGTAGACTGACTAGGTGAAATTCCAACATTACAAGGCAAAATGTTTTCTCAAAATAAGGTTCCAATTTACAAACCCCCATTAAGTTTAACAGTTCCCCTTGGTTTGCAACATCCTCCATTGTGCTTTGTTATCATAAATGTATTGAAATTTGCCAGTTTGCAAATTGCATTAGTTTATCTTTTTTGATTGCTGAGTAATGTTCCATTGTGTATATGTACCACATCTTCTTGATCCAGTCAGAAGGCTGGGGCATTTGGGTTGTTTCCATAGCTTAGCTATTACAAATAGTGCTGCTATAAGCACAGGGGTGCAGGTGCTCTTTTGAATTAATGTTTCTGTCCTTTGGGTAAATACCTAGGAGCGGAATTGCTGGATCATATGGAAGCTCCATCTTTAGCAGTCTGAGGAATCTCCATCTTTAGCAGTCTGAGGAATCTCCATATAGCTTCCCATAGTGGTTGGACCTGTTTGCACTCCCACCAGCAGTGCAGGAGAGTTCCTTTTTCTCTGCATCCTCACCAACATTTGCTGTTGCTAGTGCCATTCTCACTGGTGTAAGATGGTATGTCATTGCAGTGTTAATTTGCATTTCCCTGATTACAAGTGATGTTGAACATTTTTTCACGTGCCTGTTGGGAGCTGGAAGGGATCATCATGCTCAGCAAAATAAGCAAGAAAGAAAAAGAAAAATACCGGATGGTCTCACTCATAGCAGGAATTTAGAAAACCTAAATAAGGGACCAGGAAAAAGACTAATAAAGTAAAAATCAAAATCAACAAGCAACTATAAACCAGAGACACACTACAGGACAGGGAGGAAGGAGTAGGATCAAAACAAGGGGGTGGGAATTGTATGGGGACTATAACCAAGATGAAAATGCATAATTGTGCAAAAATGAAAAATGATGTAAAAAATATATAAAATTTAAAAAATAATAATAAAAAAAGAAATTTGTGAGTATGGAAGGCTGAAACTGAAATATCATTGAAGTTTTGGGTGTTTTGATTATTAATGAGGCCAATCACTTTTTCATTTTTATTAAAAATTTATTTATTTATGCATACAAGAACTGGGGTACAGGCCAGACGTGTGGGGCATGAGAGGATTCACCAGAGACAAAGTGGGGGAACAGAACAGGCAGAATGACTGAAATACACTGCTGAGGGGAGCAGCGGGCGAGTCAGGAGAGGTCTGCTGCACCATGTGGGTAGCTCCCTGGCCAGCTGGGGATCAAACTCGTGCTGCAGAGGCTGCGGATAGCTTCAAAGTGTTGTACTTAACCCCTTGCACCACCAGGGAGGCCCTTTTTCATATATTAATGGATCATTTATTATTTCCTTCTCGTGACATGCCTCATCCATGTCCATTTTCCTACTGTCATTTTCTTATTGTTGTGTAGGACTTCACAGATATAGATCATATTATTTTGTAGGCGTTTATATACATGTATATACTAAATTATATTTCCATTATACTACTGCAAATATCTTCTATCCCAGTTTGTGACTTGTCATTTTACTTTCATTATGGTAACTTTTGATCAACCAAGTTTATTTACAGTTAAATGAATCACTCTTGCTTTTTAATAAAACTTCTATTTCTATGCCTCCAATTCACCTTGTCTCACATTTTCTTCCAAACTTTGCAAAACTTTGCCTTTCACAAAAAAGTCTTTAACCACACTTTGACGTTTTGCATGACCGAGATCTGATTTCAGTTTTTTCTCATGGATGACAAATTTTCCTAGCATCATTAATCTACAGCTTACGCAGGGATTTATAAAACCATTTTCATCATCTATCATTTCTATATATACATGGTCTGTTTCCGCATTCTGCATTTTGCACCAGTGTTCTATACTGCAGCTATAATATATGTCACTAATCACTAGAGCTGTGTTTATAGAAAAAGTCTTTTCAAGTGGCAGGGTAAGTCCACAACTCATTCTTCTTGTTGAGTACATAACCTGTACCTGGACATTTGCCTATCAATACACCTTTAGAATCAACTTGTCCAGGTACCCAAAGAAACTTCTGGGATCTGTAACATCAATTTGATGCCATCTGTATAGTATTGATGTTTCCAATATACATTTCAGTGTTTAGCCTTCATTAAAGTATTTCTCCATAGACACTACACACTTGGAGACTCCTTTTCTGATAATCTTGATATCATCTTTGCTGCTGCTTGCAATTGACTTATATAGTGATCTTATTTCTAGCAACTCATTCCTTCTAAAAAGATTTGTTTTCTATGTAAAAGACAGCACTTGTAACTGTTTTCCTTCCAACTTAACATTTCTTTTCATTCTGTAACTGTGCTTCCTAGTCTCAGCTCAAGTAGGTTACAGAAATGGTGGTAAGATATCCTTGACTTGCTCCTGTTTTAAGAGAAATGCTCTCTTCTACTTTAAAGGTTTGATGCACATTTGACATACCCATTATTATCAAACAATTTCAAGATTGGCACCTGTCAGTGGGTGCATTTGCCTAACTTGCTCTTGCTCCAGCTCCTCACTGGAAATTGACTTAGATGTCCCTTGCTTCGTGCAAGCCTCAGATTTCAAACTGAAACTCTAATTCCCAGACTATCTCAAGACAGGACCACGTGAAGAGATGAAGTTCCATGATGGACCCTGACAGGGTCATGTCCTTAGAAGAGACACCACAGAGCTTACTCTTCTTCTCATTGCCAGCTCACTGCCATGGGGCACATAAGGAAATGGTGGCCACCCATAAAAAAGGAAATGGTGCCTCCCATTAAACTGACAATGCCAGCACGCAGACCTTGGGCTTGCATCTCAAGAATTATGAGAATATAAATGTCCACTGGTTTTATATAAGTCTAAGGGTATTCTGTTCTGGCAGCCTGAGCTAAAACTATCTTGTACTTAGAATCTGTTGATTTAGCAGCAGGACACTCCTCACTCCAGAAATCCAGTCAGTTGTATGGCCAGAGGACACGTCAGGGCAGTATTTCTATACTTAACCTAACTGCTCCTTTATTTAATAGGGAGCTGCTAAGTTAAGTAACCTCAATAAAGACTACAAGCAAACTAGCTGACGAAAAAGTGCACTTATAGTCATTCCTTCTAAGCTAATTGCTATGGTTTTATGTACATTTTTATGTCCTAGTCCCCACAGCAAACTTAGAATGAGACACAGATTCAAGGTCTGAAGGACTGTGGGAACAGTAGGAAGATTACTTGCAGTGGAAGGTCATGCACATGGAGACAAAATTAAGAATGTATTAATTTCAGAAGGATTGGATTTAGTGCAAAAGACAAATAATAGTTTACACAGGCAGAGGTTTATTTATGTCTCCCGAGGAAGTCCAGAGGCAGGCTCTCCACACTGGTGTGGGGGCTCCAGCGTCAGTGCAGATTGCAGCAGCTTCTGTCTTCTATCCTGAAGACTGTTCCGTGGCCCATGCTGGCGACTGGAGATTCAACCATCATGTCCACGTTTCAGACAAGGAAAAGCCAGTTGAGGGCCTGGAGAAGCAAAAAGAAGGAGCCTCCCTCCCAACAGCTCAGTTCGCTTAGGAAATCTCCTGGAAACATCACCAATGGCTTATGCTTCTACCCCCTCACCAGTCCTTAATTGCAAGAGGAACAAGAACACAGTAGTTGAGCTGTGAACAGTCACCCCCTCTTATCCCCCCCCAAAAAAACATGGGTTCTCTAAACGTAAAAAGGATCATGGATACAGGGTGGTGTATTAGTCATTTTTTTTATCTTTGTATTTTAGGATGCTCTGACATCTTAGGTACTTGCAGACCCAGAAGGACAGACAGCCCTCCCAAGGATAGTTAATTCCTAGAAATAGTGAGTGACTTGCCCACAAGGATACCTTTGACATGCAAGTCAAGCAATCCTGAGACCACAATGCTCATTCACCTCCTTGTACCAGCTTCTACAGGCCAGGACATTACTCCCCTGTCCAAATCACCCAGCAACCCTCTACAGAACAGAGCTGCCGAATATTATTCCAACTGCCCAGTCATACACTTGTTCTTTCCCCTCCAAAACCACAATAAAATTCCGGCCTGCACTTCCCTTCTATCCTTCTGCCTCCCAATCTACCCTGATGCTTCCCCATGTTATCCTACAGAACATGCCCTCTGCCCTCTTCACAGGACCTATAAGTAATAAACTTCTTTCAAATGTAGGTGTCTCTCTATGTCATCTTATCATACCTAATTAAACCAAATCCCGGTATATCACATATAGCAACGCAATGCAATCTTGTCCACAATACATCTTTCTATAACAGAAAGCTGAAGTCCTGGCAACATCTGAGACGTAGTTCAGAAAATTTGCTTACAATGTGTTTGGCAGAAGAAAAATAGTTGCTTTATCTCAGCTTCTCTTCTGAGCTCCAAACTCATTAATCATCACCCTGCAAATATAAGCTAGAAAGTCGACAATTAAACTGATGTTCAAACCTAATCCATTATTTCTATTTTAAAATAGAAATCTATTATTTCTCCTTTAAAATCAGTTCCTTGGGCCACTCTGGTAGCGCAAGGGGTTAAGTCTCAGCACCATGAAGCTATCCATAGCCACTGCAGCACAAGTTCAATCCCCAGGCAGGGAGCTGCCCATATGGTGCAGCAGACCTCTCCTGTCTCCCTTCTGCTCCCCTCAGCAGTGTATTTCAGCCAATCTGCTTGTTCTGCTCCCCACTCTTTCTCTGGTGACTCCTCTCAATGCCCCACTCCACTCCCCACTGGGCCTATACCCCAGGTCTTATATGTATAAATAAATTAAATAAATTCTAAAATAAAATAAAATCAGTTCCCACATCAGTGTTCCTTAGTCTCAGAAGCTATCCACATAGCCGCCCTCAGCAGCAACATCAGAGTTATCTTTTAACTGCTTTCTCCTTAGCACCAACACCTGTTCTGTCACCTAGATCCCAGGCAGGAGCTGTGTTCTTCCTAGTTCCCTAACCCAGAACCCAGCACAGGATATGGATCACACCTGGTGCACAATGAATGAATCAGAGAATCCCAAACGCCCTTCCTGTCGCTTCTCAGCTCCACTAACCTTTCTCGGCTTGTTTAGTACCTTCCTAACTGCCTCATCCTTCATCTGTCTTCACTGATCTTTCCAAAGATGATTCCCAAGACATGTCCTGGCTTAAAACCTTCCATATCTCCCCACTATCCAATGCCCTGCAAGCTTTCCAGGGCCTTTATTATCAGGCCCAACCTACTTTTCCTGTCTTAACTTTCACTCCTTCATGTAAGTTTCCGGATCTTTGTTCATGCTATTTCCTCTGCTGAAAACTAACCTGACTATGATCTGCTGTGCCCCATTACATCCACCAGTGTTAGTGTTCCTTACACCATTATCACTGAACTGCTCCTATTTACACCACCCACCCAACGCCACATCCTAGATTATGAGCTCCTTAATAGAGCCCCATATCTACCCCTATACCCAGGCCTCTATAGCTACAGGGCACATAGCAGCTGCCTGAGAGATTTCTGAATTTAAAAAGATGCCAAGGTTTACTGTAAATAGCCACAGCAGATCAAAAACAACAAAAATACTATCAAAGTGGAAAGCACTAGGTAATTCCTGGAAGTTAATAATTTTTAATATGTTGAGTATAGTAAGTTAAGATTAGCTAAGATAGTCTGTAAATATCCCATGAGACTTGGTGAGAGGGACATGGTGACTGAAAGAGTGTCATGCCTTCCTTAAAAGAACAGAATTAATAGTAATATATATTGAGCACTTGTTTTCATTACTACGCACTAAGTAAGCCACTTGCATGTATTATCTATTGTGCTCTTCAAAGTACGCCTATGAAGGGAGTGCTACTATAATCCTCCTTTTACTCACAGGAAGACAAAGCAACAAAAATCTGAGTCAGGGAAAGTAAGAAACTCATCAGAGGTCACTTAGTGAGTAAAGCAGGGATTCTAATTCAAGTTTTCTGACTACACAGTCTTAACACTGAACTATTGATAGACCAACTTTTTCAAATGACAAGATGTAACAAAAAACTAGGGTCAAGATATACACTGGGCATGGCCAAGTTAGACGCCGAAGCCCAAAGCACAGCAGACAGCAAACGGACATAAAGCAAGAAAAAAAGAAATGTCATTATTGTGGTTCAAAAAGCTACAAACACCCTAGTGTCCCTCAGACAGATCGAGGGACTGGCACGGAGGCATCTTAAGACTCCTCAGTGGGGAGGCCAATGCTGTTGATGACTCCTGCTCAAAGTCTCATTCTCTGAAAGGTAATTCTGGCAAATGCTTGATCAGCCTTCCTGACAATTTCAGCTCTCAGGAACTGGAGGACACAATGTAGGAGCAGACACTGTGAACTTACGTTACCCAGTAAAGAGACATTACTAGGCAAAAGGAAAGAAAGGACCGCCTAGAAATAACCAAGAAGAAGACTCCCCTGACACTTCCCTGCAGGGTCATCAGAATGAGAATCAGAGTAAGCGGCAGGGGCATTTCACCTTCACTCCTCAGTCGCCCAACCAAAACCAACCAGGTATTCAACTCCCAGTGTGATCCAGACGCAACCCCCCAGGAGCCCTGGCCACAGCTGGCAGTGGGAGGTTCTGAATACTTAGGGCCGATGGGAGGGGGCAGCAGGAAGTGAGCAATGGGCCAAAAGCAAAGCATAAACTTCACAAGCATAAGTTCGAACGTCAGATATGCTTTCTGTAAGCCACATCATTCTCACACGCCGTGTGAGTCTCCGTTCCAGGGATCACCTCCCGGTGCCTCCTCACAGCACAGGTTACATCAGACAATGATAAACCACATTAGCTCAGTGCCTGGCACAGAGTAAGCGCACACATGTCAGTCACTTATATCAGTGTTACCTTATAAGTGATTTCTCTGTAACTAGCTAACTTTAGGATTATCAATCACCCTCCACCACCACTCTTCATGTAATGCAAACTCTGACAGAGAAATATGTAAAATGGCCCTGCCCTCATTTCCATGTCAAGTTTCAGCACAATCCAACTGAATATTTATTAAGCCCTCTGATGCTGCTGTGCTAGGCTGAACTGAAGAGGGCTAAAGCGTTATCTGAGGAAAAGATGACCTCACCTTCAAGAACTTCATGATCTTTCTAGGGACAAAGTGAAACTAATTTCTCCTAACTGAGCTACAAAGGTTAGACTATAACCCAGTTAGCATGAGTTAACTCCCAAAAGTCACAAATACATGTTTCAGTGTTTGGGGGCACCTTTGTATTAACTGTCCAATGAATCTGAACAAATAGATGACTATGAAAACTGTGCTGGTAACAAAGTGTGGACCACCTATAGGCTGGTCTTGAAAGCCAATCAAGCTTTTTTTTTTTGTATACATGTATTAAGAGGTTTACAAAGAGAAAGGGAAAAAAAAAGAGGTGAGTGAAATGTTTAAGCAAGACATGTTAAGATGCAGATCAGGGAAAAAACTCATGTGAGACTAACCTGCTAACCTCTAGTCCATGCAGCAGTAATATTTGGAGATAATGGAGTACTGCAAACTTGGCTTGGAAATAATGGGAAAGACTTTCTCCCTCAAATGAAATTATTGAATAAATGTTTATTTTTTCTCATTATAAAAATACTCAACTCAAAAGAAATTAGAATACAGAAAAAGGTAAGGAAATAGAGATTCACACAAATCTACACTATCCAGAGATAATCACTTTTTGATGTTTCTCCTTCCAGATGTTTCTAAACATACATTAATTATATTCTTTTTCAAAACTGGGTAACACCACGCCTGCTGTTTGATATTTATTCTCCTACACATCCATGAGTCATACTGATCTCTCCAATTACTGCAGAATCCCAAAATTAAAGTCACAGGGGAGTTTTCTGCAGGTACTTTTCTTGGCACCGTAAGAACAGGAAACGCAGGACACAAAACTGGACTTCTGAACCCTCAAGCCTGTCACCACTGTCAGACTCCACACGTCCACTGTGCCTAGACCAGCTGGGAGCATTAGATTGTTTCTCAGCAGATGGGGCTGCCAGGGTGGGAGGCAGCCTGACCGGGGGGAACCCTCAGGTTACAGCATCCTATGGACCTGTGGCCTCTGTGCTGAACACGAGCCTGAAAGCGCTGCCAGCCCAGCCTTAGAGCCATTCAGGCAACCCCAGTGGAGCTTGGAGAGGACCCCTGCTCTCAGGGATCCTGGAAAATACTTCCTGTCCTGCTGCACTCTGGACTCAGCATTGCTCAGGGTTGGTCACTCAGCTGTCTTAGTCACTGTATCACTCTCCTAAAGCAGATTCATCGTTCCTGATTAAATGAACCAAATCTGCATTAATTCTTACATCTTTAAAGAAGCATAAAAGATAAAAGTAGCTTTGCAAAAGAAATAAAGACTTTCCCAAAAGACAAATTTTATCTACTTTATAATTTTCTAAACTAAAACATGGCATAGAGGAGTGGGGAAATCACCACTGCAGTCTTAACGTGTAAAACCAGAGAGCAGAATTACATGCTAACTGGCGGCCCAGCTATAGGGAAAAAGACAGCTGATAGAGAAGGGGAATTGTTTTTCCCTCTTACCAGGCAGAGAGAGGATAAAGCTAAGGAACTTCACCTCACCTTAACCAATCCTCACTGAGTACAAGACACTAAAGTGTTTAGAAAATACCTTAGAGTGAGAAACTCAAGGATCCACATCACAGGATATGAATTCTGAAGCTTTTACAGCCCAGTAAGACCTAAGCTACAGTCAGCACCACACACTCAGGCAGAGGCGGGAGGACACATATTTGGGTAACCAGAGGCCAGGCTGGAGCAGGCCCAGACGGAATGAGCAACTGCCACCAGCAGAACTGGACAACCTGCTCAGCAGCAGCCAACCTCTGAAAAAACTGCAGTCAACTAGCAGGCAACCTGTAGAGGGCTGACACAGACTTTATAAAGTAAAACATGCCTTGAAAAACCAAATTCATTTTATGTAATTTATAGCAGTACATTATGAGTACTCTGCATAGTCCTCCTTCTAATAAAAGCAATCACGTGCACACATGACTGTACAGTACGTACATCAAGAGCACATGTGAACAATGAAAGGGAAATGTCACATCTGAGGCTCTAACCCAGGAAGGCAATGTCAAACAAAGCTTATTGAGGGAACTCCCCCCAAAGTTCTGGACAAGACAAAGGATGCCTAGAAAGAGAACAGGGTTACCAGAGCCTCCGTACCATCACCTGGAGATGAACAGTTTCCTCCCTAGTCATATTTCACGCTTTTACTGTCAGTAAACTTAGATAAATGTACTACTGGAAGTGTCTAAAAACAAGGGAGGTTAGGGTAGGTTAGTGTCGAAGCAGTTTAGGTTAGAGACAAACTACTGCTCAGGAAACCTCTTCAATTAAGGCTAAAGTTCACTCTCCTGTTGAGATCATTTTTCTGTCAAGATTTATGTCTAGTCTGTGCAAAGCACTGGTTAAGGTGCAGGTACACCGAGAAGACACAGTCCTTGCCTTCAAGTGCACAGAGCACACAGAAAAGAAGATCATCATTTACAACTGTGGGGTAAACACCTGACGTACAGTGAAGCTCAGTGAACACGGAGGGGTTGAATCAACATTATGACAGAAGCACATCAAGCAAAGAGTCTTCCTAAAGGACATTCATACTTTTGTGATAACACGAGCAAGTCTGAAAGCCCACTATTTTATATGCCCATACATAGACACCAGCCCTAAAGAATAAGCAACTAGCAAAAACCATACCAGACAGGAGCCACCAAGGTTTATGGCACAAAAAGGGGAAGAGGAGCAACAGTTGGGAAAAATATTACCACTCATTTTATATAAAAGAATATTTTAATCTTGTCCTTAGAAACTAATGAGACTATACATTATACATGATTTGAAAGTAAGACTGTACCAAATAATAGCCAAAGAAGAATCATCCACTCTATTCCTTCTCTCTCGTCTGGTCACTCAGAAATATGATGTTATCTGTAAGGAAGCCAAAGTGTTAATACTATTTTCAGAACTTTTCTCCATCCCATTTAACCATTCCTCTCTAACAGATGCGCATTTTGTGTTGTTCACTGAAAGGATTTGAGGCAAATTCTCAAAATACTAAATACCTTGCTATGTCCGTGAGGGTGTATCAGTGCAAAGCGAGCTTCAAGTTGGGCTTCAGCTGTTTGGCTGATCATTTGGACCTTACTGAAGGGTGGGATATTATTTGTCTTCCCCAAAGACAACTAAAGTCTTTTCAGCAACAGCTTCCTGCAGTAGAACTCGTCTCAAATGTGGATGCTCGCAGTGCCCAGACAGACGCCTTTACCCAGGCAGCATACCTCCACCGCCGAGGACCGCGGCACCACACCGCCCGCCCCGCAGTACAGAGGAAAGCACAAGGACCTTCACACGGACCGCGAGCAAAGGCAGATTCATTTAGGCTTTTAGTTAGGTTTGAATGTCACATAGAAGACATTTTAGTTTTCAATTTTAAAAAAGTAACTGTTATATACTCATTCTTGGAAAAATGTTTAAAAATCATTTCCAGAGTAAGCATTTCTATGCAAGAAGCTCAGCACATGCTTCCCCTGTCTCGGTCACAGCCTTCAGAGACTCAAGAATAAAGTCCTCACTTTAAATAGTAAGTACTGGCGTAGACTGTTCAATTCATACTCTGCTCAAAAGTTACTTGAGATGTAAAACTGTAAGTACAAAGCTAACTGTCTTTAAAAAAAGGGAAAAAAATGTAGAAACTATAAACAAGGCTACAAGCCGCACTCAAAATTCTCCCACTGGGTTGCCCTATAATCTCATTAGCATAAGTACTCACAACCCCAGTGAAAGTTACTTACACTAAGAAGATTTAGACTGAGGGAAAACCAAAAACAGCTCTTAACACAATCTTCTTACCAGCTATGATTGTTGTAGCTTGCCGCCGCACATTATTTTTATCCGTGTATTCACCATAGTCAACTTTCCCTTCCACAAAAATTCGAGACCTGTTATAAATAAAATTTCGTTTTCAGTATAGAGATTCCAATATGCTTCACAAGAGAGTGGGATCTGAGGTAGCCATGAGTACACACTAAGGATGAAAGAGACAATCACACAGCCTCATGCTGTTAGAATTAAGAGCACTGGACAGAATATACAGACTTAACACATCAAGTAAAAAAGAAAATATTTTATTCCTTGAGATGATTGTGTGTATAATACTTCATGGAAGTCTTAAAAAAATTAAGTCTTTACAAAATTAAGCCAAAATTTAAAAAAAAAAAAAAAGGCAACCTTAAGGCCAGAAGGTGGCAGTGGTATCCTTCAATTTCCAGGCTTGATTTGCGATGTTTTGAACTTCTAAGATTTGATTTTCACTTATTTTTCTATTCCTTTCTATACTTGAGGTACATGAACTTATTCTCAAGGGACTTAGTTGATTAAATTTCAAAACAGAGGTTTCAACCTAGTGTTTCACTGAGGGGTTATGACTTTTTGTACCATCTCTAAGACACTATCTAGAAGACAACTGTAACTGACCTCTTGAAGAGAAGATACTGACCAGAAGGAAGCCAGTTTTCAGCCTTCACCATGACCAAAAAAATACAATATAGAAAGTAGACAAGACCGGCAAGCTGACTGGATGCCAGGGGAACACACACACAGAGACTCATCAATCAGCAGGTGCCCACATACGCATTTTCCCTGGCATCACCTGTGTGTTCACATGTACGCATACATATATTTCTACGTATACACAATGGAGGCACATATGAAGAAAAGGTATGTGGTTATTAAAAAACAGAAATTTCAGTTTTCCTGAAAATATTTTTCATGTTTTAATATTCTATAAAACAAATGTATTTCTAAATATACTATGACTACAGTGCTGTTAACCACAGCCTTTTGTCCTTCTGTGAATTTGGGAAAGACACTTTTTTTTTAGACATAATCGATCCAAGCATTGCATAAGGGAATTACAAAGCCCATGTGAAATTATCAAATATAAAACAGCTGCTGTGCCTACGACCACAATACCACAGTGTCAACTCCAGACACTCCAGATCCTCTGAGAAGGATCTTACATGGCTGCAATAGGCTAGACAACCCCCCCCATCAGGACCTTGACGCAGCAGCACTGGGAGCCCCTAAAAGCACGCACTGCACCTGCTCTGGTGGCACTTAATCCCCGCCTCCTCTCTTGCCTCAAATGCTTCTACTTATGTACACCCTGTGTTTGCCTAAACTAGAAGATCTCAGAAAGCTAAAATCACATTTTATATGCTTCTGAATTAGTGTCACACGCCAATGCACCCGGCACATAGTAAAAGCATGGAATAAATATCTTAAATCAAGATAATTTGCAGTAATTAGGAATAAAGGAACTACCCATCCCACGAGAACACAGGTTACCAGTTGTTTTAAGACCACTCAATCTGTAAGATCTTTCCTTCCTAGACTTACCCCTTCTTCACATACTGGTATGCCACATCTCTGAGTCCTGGCCGGAACACCGATATTCTGTGCCAGGTTGTCTTTTGACTGACATCACCTAAATCAAAATAGGAAATGGGATTACAGATGCCAGCAGATGAAACAAATGCTGAAGATCAACAGGCCCAGCAAAATCAATGTCACGATTTCCAAGATAACAGAACTGAATGAGAGAAGAAAGACCCTTTCTGGAAGTAGCTCTCCTCTACCAAGGCAGTTGGCACTAAGTAACGTCTTTTGCTCTAATTAAAACCCCAGACTTTCCTACTCACCCATTTGGTATGTTTCACTTTCCCCTGATCGCCACATCTCATTTGTTGCCATAGAAAAGATTGTGACTGGGTTCTTTCCTTCCACTTGTCTCATCACAGGGTCCTGACCCACTCGCCCAAGTAACTGCACACGATTCAAAGCTGAAACACAATATGTACATATGATGAGCCTAAGAGAAACCTCCAGAAGAGGAGCAGCACACAAATACCACCTTAACTTCAATTTCAGCATAAAGTAAGGCCCAAAATATAGATAATCAGAAAACAAAGATGAAGTAGAGAATAAAGGGGTTGGTAGGAAAAGAAGGTTGGGTAAAAGAACAAATCTGCAATTTGAAAATCTGAATAAATACAAGGAAATATTTTTGTTAAACAACAGCTTCTATAATCTTTTACTACCCCAGGCAAATATATAATCTTGGAAGATTTATATAACCAAATATGATTCTAAAAAAGTTCTATGGAAGGAACTCACAAGCATGAGTAAAAAGTGACTGACATGGAAGAAGCGCCTAATTACAGTAGGCCCTGCTGCCTGACGGGGCAAGGTCAAGATCTGAGTGGCAAATGGAGCCGAAAACACAATAAACAGCTTATAGCCCAACCAGTGTAGCTCCTCTGCAACACATATGAGAATACTAGCATAATATTTGAGAATATTAGCAACACATTTGAGAATATTAGCAATATTAGCATAACATGCTTTCAACTTGAAAATTGGCTGTTACTTACATCTTTCAAGAACCAAACTGCTAGCTGTTTCAGATTCATGTCTTACAAACTGCCGCAGTACCTAAGTGGAATAAATGAAAACGCTTTTAATTTGGGGGAAGGACAAACACAGGCAGGACACCTTATCACATTTCGCTGCCAGTCAGCAGCCCTCACAGCACAAATCCAGGCAGGAGCTGCACTCCTCGCGTCCCAGGCACGCAGCACGCAGCACTAGGACCATGCAAACACTGCAAGGCAGCCGATTGCAGAAGCCCAAGTGTGCAAGGAAGGTACCCAGAGAGCAGGCCCAAGAAAACTCACTGATAGTCCTCTCCTCATTACAGCAAACCCCTCATTATGGGACTTCTGTGCTTGCACACAAAAAATGTAATCACAAGTATGTTGGAAAAGTTCAAGCTTCCAATAGACCAAAGAAAAAAAGTCCAAGACAAATATGGTTCTTTATGTACAAAGAAAGGACTGTCCAAATCAGCTTGTCAGAAAGGGTAGTCACTGCCACAGAATAGCAGCACCGAATCATGTAGCAGCTGCCATTACTGACAATCAGCCAAGTGCTTTACCTGTGGTCAGTTCATCCACAGAATAAACTTATAAACTATGTGAAATGACCCCCAGTTTAGAGATGAGAAAAATGAAGCTCAGAGAGATTGTTATTTCCCCATAATCCTACAAGAAATAAATGGCCAGTCACACCTACACTCCAGGGCTTTGTGACACCATGGTTACTGCTTTTCCCACCACCCTCAGCTGCCTCCTTAAAGACATTCTGCTCAAGGACCACTGCCAAGCTATGAGCACACATTACTGGGCACGATGCTGGGTACAAAGGTCAGGGCTAACCATTGCATCAGAGGCAAGTGCCACATGGTAGCACTGTTTATATAAAAAGCAAATTCCACCAATCAAATGAACACCCATTGCTGAGGTAGTGCTGGCTAAGGAATCCTATCACTGTTTTGGGGGCAGACAGAGGGTAAAAAAGAAAAAAAAAAGATGTGAGTTACAACATTCTAAAGACTCAAACTGCTAACTACTACCTATGTCAGGGTCCTAGAAATGTCCTAATATGAGTGCTCAGATGAGGCAGGGCTCATAAGTCTTACAGAACGTGTCTCACTGTGGCACACAAAAATCAAGATCTACTGGAGATCTGGCAAAAGAGAATTATTTAATTTTAAAGCCTTTTTTTAACCCTTTAAGTTCTGCTTAATACTATAGTATTAGACAGTATTAGCTAATCCAAGTTTCACATTTGAACATATACGTGCACACCTGCACGCGCGCGCGCACACACACACACACAATGTTAAAAGTATACACAGGGTCAAGTCTACAGTACAGGGGGAGATGAGAAAAGATTTCATAAAGGAACTGATTGTTCATTAGTCTTAACAGGATGGTGTATAGGAGAAAAGTGTTATAAAGGGGAATGTACAAACAAGGTGACCATCTATGGTGAGGGAAAAGGCTAGTCTAGGTTGGTTCAAGTCTGGTTAGAGTGACTGGAGAGATGTGTAGGAATATAGGGAATGAGAAAGAATCTTGGATATGGTGAATGTGTGAGGTTGTGACTTCAGCTGCTCTCCTCCAATATAGAGAGATTGGAGAGAGTGAGGGTAAGCAGTCATGTCTTACGGAAAAATACTCAAAAAGTGATTCTCATACTAAACACAAAAAATTACTAAAGACAAAAATATGCTCTCTAACTGATCTAAATGCAAACATATCTTAAAAAGCAATGACTCCCATTACACACCTGAATAAACTAGAAAAATTTTCTTTTGTTTTAATGACAAGATTCAAACAGTTAAATCTTTTTGTCCCCAACCCTATCAAATAATGACACAGAAGACGGGTGGTCTCAAAGGTCTTTTTGCCTCTACATTCAAAAGCCTAAAGATATCTGGTCAGCATGGCCAATCAACGCTAGAATGGAAAAGTGATTACCTGTAATACAGGTCTTCGAAACATGGTTTCTATTTTCTTTTCATGCAATCTAGTGTTTCGTCTTTTCCTGAAGAAAAAAGAAAGACTTTAACCCTTTGCACTCTGAACCATTCTGGACATTGGCTACCAGCTACTCGACGCTACTTTGCGGCGGAAACGTGCATTTACAGACCCTCGTATTATTTAGTATAATCTTGGAACCAAGTAACGTATTATAATGATATTGGACTTATATGAATTAGGTGACATCGAGGAATGTATATTTGCAAAAAAAAAAAATATTTTATTGTTTATAATTTTGTACAGTATGATGTTTTGTAACACTCCCCAATATGCATTGCAGGCTGATTAGTGCATGTTTGACAGTAATAAGTGGTTTGACGCCTGCCACCAGGTGTTTTCCTGTTAGAACACACAATGCAGTCCCGTTTTCTTTGTCCCACATCGGGAATATGTAGTACGACACAAAACCCGCTGACATGTCTTGTATATATCTTAGTAATTTTACAATATTTTGATTTAATTTCTTGTGCCATTTCAAGATAAAACTTCACGGAAACATGCAGGTCTCAAAAAGTTGCGTTGAAATAACTCAATTCCCTGTAATCACTAATAAATTGCAATGTCCCCTGAGAGGGGACTTCCGAGTGATATGCTAGAATTCCGGTGTCCCCTGAGAGGGGACAGCGGAGTGCAAAGGGTTAAATACCGTATCTTTCAGCAAGAACACATTCGCTACTGCTAAACACCTACATGCATTCATGCTTTTTATGCAATTCACCTTGAGAACCTAAATGAACTCCCTGCACCTGCGAGGTGGAGCCCTCCCCCTCCCAGAAGCTCTCACATCTATATATTATTTTGATCCCCCTCAATGTCCTCTTCCTCCAACCCATATTAAAAAAAAAAAAAAAAAAAAGAGATCAAATCTGCTTCCGAGTGACTGCCCTTCCACTGCCCTCTCAAGTTTCATTACAATGAAGGCTCCCTTAGGGCAGGAGAAAATCTCAGTTATTCACTGCCCGATCCGAAACACCTGAAACAGGTGTGAAGCCATACTGAAGGCTCAATAAACACTGGACTGTCATCCGGGGGGTTAAGTTTGAAACCTGTCCCTGCAGAAGTCACCGCCTCCGTCCTCGTTAGCGAAGACCAAGGAGATGCCTGCGACGCCGGGGCTCCCGGGCCTCGGGGCCTTTCCTGAAGGGTGACCCAGACCGAGAGCCTTGGAGCTGGGCGAAAGCGCGGAGTCGCCCCGCGAGTGAAAAGTTCCAGACCCCGACACAGCATCGCCCCGGCCCCGTGGAGGAAAAAAAGCACACCTCGCGCCCCACGCGTACTTCCTCCCTCCCTCACCTGACGCGCCAGCCCACAAGGCCGCGAACCAGGCGATCACTTCCGGTGCAAGCGCGACGCAGGTTCGCGAGAGGAAGAAGAAAGCGGAAGGTCCTCCCGGGTGTGTTGTAAAAATGCTGCCGGCCGGCACGGCGGGAAACACGCTCCCTAACGCGCGAGTTCCGGGAGCTTCCTTCCGGCAGGCGTGGCTGGGCCGACGCCGCCAAGTGGTGAGTTAAGTTGGCTTCAAATTACTGATGAAAGAAATTTTGCATTGAAGAGGTTTCCCGCGGAACTCGGGAGGGGGCGAGGTTGGCGAAACAAAGACTAGCTCTGCCTCTCAGGAGAGCTAAAGTCGTGAGAAAGCCCGGAAAAGCAATAGGGAGAGCTGAGAGCGCGAACTTTTCTATTGGAGGGAGGGAGGAGGGTGTGGAGAGGGGATTTGATAGAAACTCATTAAAACATCGAGGTCATGTTTTAATGCAACATCTTTGAAAGTCAAAATTGCCAAAAATTCTCTCTTGAACAAAATATTCAAATGTCAGTCGATACAGGGTCTCAGCCAGCTTGCTCCTGAGGTTCGAGGGAACGAAACCTATACAGCAGGTTTTTATGTGTTAAAATTTTTCCCAGATATTAAAGCTGTGGAAATATTGAAAAATTGAAAAGCGAGTAAATCAAAACACAACTTTTTTTAAGATTAAATATCTTATTTATACAAAAAACAGTATTTTAATTTTGCTTTCCTGGCTTTAGTAGAGTGAACTGACCCATATTTACCAGACCTACTTTATTTCAGGTGCAAGGATTGCCTTATTTGACAGTTTTTCTTGAAGAAATGATAATCTTGAATAATTTTAATTAACTTCAGCATACTAATGACTGTGGGGTTTTTGGTGCCTCTTCAATTTCGACTCATTCACCCTAATCCTGGCCAGGTAAGAAAGAGAGGCATGGAGTCCAGCAGATGGCAGAATACAGACCAGAGGGGTCTCCCCAAACCTCTCCGGTATCCTGTTCCTGGCACTATCCAGCTTCTAGAAAAGATACCATTCAGATCATCTTAACAGACAAATGGCTTCCTGAAGAGCCTGCTTAAAACTGTAATGGCCCATTTGTGCCCTTAAAGGAAAAAAATATAAACCAATTTAACTTCTAGCCTCCATCTTACTGCACAATGTTCACTTCCTGAAACAAGCCTTACACAGCTCAGACTTTGCAATGTATATGTGGGTCAGCCCACATCCCACCTGCTATGCTATAATACTATCAATGCCCACCAATGATTTCCTGTTCAAAAGTCCTACTTCCACTTAACATTTAAGTCAAATGAGAAACTCATCCTTGTCTCCAAAGCCAGTTTTCCCTCAGAAACACCTTGTGGTGTTTCAGGTTTGGGATTAAATTCCCAAACTTGAACTTTGGAATCATCTTTAAAACATCTCCCTAATCATCTACATCCATTCTGTTGTATCCAATCCATTGCCCCTAAAAGCTATTTGTACATTATGCTACACGTTTCTCCCTCTTTCTGTTCACAATTACTTTGAGAGTGGGGAGTGCAGAAAAGTTTTTAAATAAAAACCAGAAAGCACCATAAAAATTGAAAGCAGACTGTCCTGGGAAACCGGTAACCTTATAAATAATATCTAAGTGGAAATTCTGGGCTAATCTGAACCCTCTCTGCAACTGGAATTACCTCCCAATATACATTCTCCAGAGACTGTTGACTGGAGAAAATTGCAAGTGCTGATACTTTCCTTTTTCTTCTTTGACAAAAAATATTAAAATGTAAAAAAAGTCTTGTCATGGGAGAACTAAGTTATTTTCTTCTGTTATCAAACTTCTTTCCTGCACAACAGATGCTTCAGCATTGCTTTGCTCTCTCCTCAGCAGCAGGGATCCTGTTCCCCCTACTTTCAAAATTTTAACTTTCTCTGTTCTATTTCGCTTCCTTTATACTCTATCTTGTATAAGGATTTAAATGCCCATATAGGTGCTTCCTCTTCTTCCCCATTGGTTGTGAGCACTTAGAGGACATGGGCCTTGCAAAAACAATAAATTATGCAAATGGCAGTGACTGAATGTGCTTTTGTATGAGGTGTTCCCCTTCAAGAATCTATAGTTCAGGGGCTTTCCTAGTGCTGCAAGGGGTTAAGACACAGCACTATGACGTTATCCACAACCATTGCTGCATGAGTTTGATCCCTGGCCAGGGAGCTAAGCCACATGGCACAGCATACCTCTCCTGTCCTACCCACTGCTCCTCTCAGCCGTGTATTTCAGTCAATCTGCCTGTTCTGTTCCCCACTCTGTCTCTGGCGAATCCTCTCACACTGCCCCGCCCACCCCACACCTCTGACCTGTATTCCAGTTTTTGTATGCATAAATATTTTTTTAAAAAGAATGTACAGTACAAATTTGAATAAGAAAGTCCTGAAACTTCTTCACAGTGCATACTCAAGCACACGCTTTAACGTAATCCTAGACTTCCCGGCTTTCATCCGTGGACCCAGAAAGGGTCTTCCCAGTGCTAAGAAGTAGTGACAGCGCCGTGACTTTAATCAGTTCTTGTTCCCCTGGCAGTAGTGGGGTAAATCAGAGCTTCCATCCTTTACAGAGCTAGCTGAGAAAGAGAAGTGTATATAATACATGCACAAAGTCACAGAATTTTTTGTGGCCTTGCCTTCTCCCCCCCCCCCCAAATTAAAAGAAAGTCTCAGCCACAGGCATCAAGTGGTAGAGACCAGGGTTGGCAGTGTTTTATCACAGAGAGGAAGCTTAGGGCAATTCTGTAGCTGTAAAAAAAAAAACTTTGGATATTTGTGTCAACTTTCACTTTGCTCTTAAATATTTTTTCCTCAAGCCTCATAATAGCTTAGACAATTACAGCACTTCTTACCTAAACTGATTACAAGCATCTATTTGAAGTGCTTCACAGGAATGTTAGCAATAGTTCATAGTTACTGGGGTTATTTGCTAAATTAAAAGACCACCACCTAACAAATTTCATGTAATTCAAGATTGAAATTAAAGTTCATATAGAAACAATCTGAAATGTTGATGTTTGTTTTCTAATGTTCATCTTTCTGCCACTTTAGTTTTGTGGCTCCTCCACGTCAGGGCTTGTGTGGGAACTTATTGAAGCACAGTGTTATTTCTTTCCCCTTAAGTCTCAGGATTATCTGTCAACACCTTCATGGGTTTGTGTTTAAGATACAGCTAGAGAAAAGCAACATATTACCTCCAAAAGTATTTAAATTTAAGTTCTTTCATGTTGCTGGCCCAATGATGTCATTATTTGATGGTTTGAGGTTTAATTCCTGTTTAATTTAGATGTTCAATTCCTGGGTTATCTTTTGATCCCAGTGCAGAAGCAGAACAGACTGAGGATGAAGCTTGTTAATGAGGCAAGGAGTCATCTTTCACCTGAAATGGAAAGGATTAAATCCCAAGCCCAGAGAAGCCCCATCCTGCTCACATCCAACAGTGTCTGTACAACTACCTGCTTTTGGTGACTCCCTGCTACTGTGGAGCTAAGAGAGAGAGGACGCTGTAGTTTGATGCCAAGGGCTAAGGTAAGCTCTGAAGAACATGATAGAGAAAGGGTCATAGGCCCTAATCCTAGATGATAGATGTAACCAAGCACGGTGCATTGCTGGATAATATACCTGTTTCTGACACATAGCACTGTACTGCAAGCCCTGTACTCACTGGGGCAGGGAGGAAAGAGAGAAATGAATTCCATTTTCAGACCTTTAATAAAAGATTAGTTGTTTGGTTTTTTGGGATAGGGGGGCAGTTAGTGGCAATGGGCAATCCTGAGTACTATTCCCCACTTAATTGCATGGAAATGGCTGCTATTCCAAGACAGAACAAAGAATAGAGGTTTGTTAAAAGAACGTCTTAATTTGATTTTAAAAATTACGGGGGAAAGACAGAAAAAAAGGCTACAAATCACTAACAGGCTACCTGCATTCATATGACACAACTAGAAGTTATCAAATGTCTCAATGACCCATATTATTTTACAGAAGAACCCGCTCATTACCCGATTTTGTGTCCGTGAAACTGGACCTTACACCAAGACTTATCAACCTACCAGATTCTCTCACCTTTTTACTCAGAAAGTGGTTTCCTACATAAGCAGTTCCTTCTTTGTTTGTCACAGATTACAAAGAAGATGCTTGCCCATATTTGGCTTTGGACAAGATAAAAATCTTTATTTACAAATATTCCTTTAAAAATATATACAGAGAAAAGGATTTTGATAAAATATAAAATCACAGGAAATAAGCCAAATTCTGATAAAATCAAGGACAAATCGGTGACACCCAGAAAATCAAAATCAACCATTAATATTAATAAATGGGTCAGTGCAAACAGATTGAGGAAAAACCAGATCACTTCCCTCAAACCCTCTACCTAGTGTTTTTGTTCCATGACTTAATAGCCAGCTCAGAAATTTCAAGTTATAAAGACTTATTTCTACCCACCTCACATCACAGTGAAGTCATTTTTCTAATAAATGCAGTAGCAGAGAAAGAAATGGTCCCCATTCTGAAAATACAGCAGGAAAAGCATATGCTTAAAGTGGCTGAGGATTCTTTTAAGAATACCATCAGATCAGCTGGGAAGCACTGTTGAGATCCAGGAACAATTTCTTGTAAGCTGTTCCCTTAATTCAAAATTGTGTTCCTTCCATGTGCAGAGTGGCTGGGGTCCTGGGGAGGTAATCAGCTACAGCAACCATTAGGCCCATAGGCCGCTTCTTCCCTTTGTATGTCCATGTGCACCAATGAACGTGAGACGTGAACCAGCAGTGAGAGCAGCATTTGGAGTATGACAGCAGAGAAAAGAATGGCTACTGGTTATTGCACTTGAGACCACTGCTAATAGGAGACCTTACTAGCCTGAGGATCTTGGCTGTAGATGCTCAATTAGGAGTGATTTTTTTAATCTTTGGGCATTCAAGTTGGTTAATCTTTCCCTTTATAAGAGGATGGTTGACATGGTCAATATCCATTTCTGGAAGTAATAGCTTAAGAGTGGGTTAGTATGAAATGGGTTCTTATGGGGAGGACTGGCCACAAGTAAAACTTGAGGACTTTGCACTCTTTCTTCCCACAAGGCGTCTGGTGCTTCTTGATCCTGTGAGGATCCCAGAGACCCCAGGATCACTATGGTCATCCCGTGGGGACCGGGCCAGCTGGGCTTCCCTCAGCTCCCTGGCAATGAAAGGGGAAGAACATGTTACTTAAGCCCAAATTAGATATAACATTTATGATCCACACTAACACACACACTTTTCTTTTTCAGTATTTATAGAGCTAATTACTGACTAGAGAATTCAGCTCCCGTGATCGTCTTAAAAGATAGCTGCACACACATACCATAACACATGACAGGTGCCATTTTCTAGCACCTACGGATTGGGAAATAGTCTTTAAAATTAAAAAATAATAATAAGGGAACAACTCTAGACTCCATATGAAAGCTCTAGGGATTCACAAAGCACAGCCCATGAAGCAGATCTCACCCACCACCAGTTTTTGTAAACAAAGTCTTATTGAAACTCAGCCCTATCTGTTCATTCATGTGTTATCTATGTAGTAATGTTTTTTGCATTAATACAGCAGATATGAGGAATTGCAACAGATCACATGGCCCACAAAGCATTAAGTATTCATTATCAAGCTCTTTACAGAAAAGCTGAACACCCCCTGGTCTAGAAAACTTTAAGAAGATACCTGCTCCTTCTCTATGATGGGTGCTCATTGCTGGTAACGCCGATGACAGATACTTACACCTCCCAGCTGGCCCCGCAGAATGCACACACCTTAAAAAGTACTTACATTACTATGGCAACACATCTATAAGTATTTGTATCTTGTTTATTTGCTGGGAAAATCAGATCTAAAACTAGAGCAACAAATATATTGACTTGCTTATTAGGAAGCATTACCTGACTGAAAGCTTAGATTCTCTAAAGCTTATTGCCAAGAAATCATTTGGGAGACTTTTCAAGCTAATATTTGTCCATGATGGATTGTGTATTCAAAGGAAAGTATAATTCTAAGCTTGTTTCAGAGGACCACTTTTATATTTTCAGCAGTAATAGTCACTTAATGCCCTCGGCACGCTGCTCAAACACCACTGCCTGACCTATCTTCAACTACATCCCATCTCATTAATTCCTATTTGTTTAATGAAGGCATAGACTAACAAATGAATGCATGCATAAATATGAGTTACTGTGAATAAGTGAAAAATACTTCTTCCTCTGAACAAATACCAATACAGCAGGGCCTCCCTGGCGGCTCAAGGGGTTAAGCACAGCACTGTGAAGCTATCGGCAGCCTCTGCAGCCTGAGTTTGATCCCCGGCTGGCCAGGGAACTACCCACATAGCACAGCAGACTTCTCCTGTCTTGTCCGCTGCTCCCCGCAGCAGTGTATTTCAGGCAGTCTGCCTGTTCTGTTCCCTACTCTGTCTTGGTGAATCCTCCCTCCCTCCCTCTCTCTCTCTCTCTCTCTCTCTCTCACTCACACACACACACACACACACACACACACACACACCCCTCTGGCTTGTACCCCTGTTCTTGTATGCATAAATAAATAAATCTTATAAAAAAGAGATAGCATATCTATCTGACCTGAAATTGAATGGATGTCTGAAGTAGGTCTCTTCCCACCTCATGTATGGTTATGTTGCACTGGGCAGTCATCCACCAGTTACTTGAATACCTGTTGTCACTCAGAATCCTACCAGGTTTTCTCTTGCAGGTGTATTTTCTTGAACTCCTCATTTTGCTTCCTCCACAGTAACTGAACTTTTTCACTCTCAAGCAGTCAAGCCCCGGGGCCTCTAGCAGGACCTCAGGCTGCAAGTCGTGTAGGAAGGGACCTACACACAGTGCTGAGTTGGGCTGAACCCATAGAGTAGACACACCAGACCAGCCACATCACTGTGAAAAACACACACAGATTCTTCCTCAACTCCAGCAACTAAAATCTACCTTTCCAGTGTGGCTGTCTTGAACTTTTCCAGGTTAAGCTGCTGCTGCAGCTCTTCCGTTTTCCCCAGGGAGGGCCGGAGAATTCGGCTTCTGGCCAGAGCTGCTGCAGAAGGTCTCTCCCCTGGGTCAGCGTGGATCATGTTCTGGTGAGGTACGGCCAAGAGGAAGAGGTTAGAAGCGTCACTGTGGGAACAGCTCCCCACCCAGAACCAATTCCACCTCAGCTCTGCTGACTAGTAACAGATACTATCACGTGTCCTGGGAAACTCAGCTGCTCCTTTTTGCAAAAGGAAGAAATAAATGAAAACTTGGCTCCACCTAAGACAGGATTCTCATCCCTGTCCAGGAGCATCGGTCAGCCACACCTCTGCTTTGACTCTAAGTGTCACATTTTATAGCTAGTTGGATGACTAGCTAGTCAAATGCCTTAATTTTAAATGGGACAAAACTGAAGCCTGAGAGAAAAAGTGACAGTTGGGAGTTATACACAAGTTGATGGTCATCAACCATCAGCAATATGAGGAGAAAACCTTTGGAATGGGGAAAAGATTTATAATCCACCTATCCACTAAGGGGTTAATACCCAAACTATTTGAGGAACTTATGCAACTCAACAGTAAAAACTCAAGCACCCCAGTTAAAAAATTGGCAAAGGACCTTAATAGATATTTTTTTTTTTGAAAGAAGTCACAAAAATTCTCAACAGCTACATGAGATATTCAACATCAGTAATCACAGAGAGATATAAATCCAAGCCACAATGAGATATCACTTCACACCTGTTAGGATATTATGACCCAAAAGGCAGGAGAGAAAAAATGCTAATGAGGAAGTGGACAAAGGGAGCCCCTGTGCCCTGTTGGCCAGAGTGTAAACTGGTGCTGCCACTGTTGGCAACAGTCTAGAGGGTCAGACTATCACCAGCCACTGTGGCACCAGTTCCAGCCCCCGGCTGGCCAGGGAGCAACCCCCATGGCGCAGACCTCTCCTATCTTGCCCACTGCTCCCCTCAGCAGTGTATTTCCGTAGACCTGCCTGTTCTGCTCCCCACTCTTTCTGGTGAATCATCTCACACACACACCCACACCTCTGGTCTACACCCCAGTTCCAGTATGCATAAATAAATCTTTAAAAAAAAGAAATCAAAAATAGAACTACCAATTGGTTCAGCAATCTCACTTTGGGTACATATCCAAAGGAAACAGAATCATCATCTCAAAGACATATCCACATTCCTATGTTCACAGCAGCATTATCCACAGCAGCCAAGCTACAGAAATAACCTAAGTGTCTGGTGATGACTGACTGGATAAAAAAATGTAAATATCATTTAGCCTTCAAAAAGAAAGAAATCCTTCCATTTGCAACAATGCAGATGAACCCAGAGGGTGTTATGCTAAGTGAAATAACGTAGAGAGAGAAAAACAAATGCTGCATGGTATCACTTAAACTAGGAGTCTTAATATTTTTTTTAAGTTGAGTTCATAGAAACAGAGTAGAAAAGTGGTTGCTAGGGATTGGGGGTGGGGAGAAACAGGGAGAGATTGTCAAGTGTGCAAAGTTTCTGTTGTAAAATGGATAAGGATGGAGGAGCTAATGTATAACATGGTGACTATAGTTGATAACATCCTATTGCATGGCTGAATTTGCTCAGAGAGGAACTTCAGTATTCTCACACAAAAAAAGGTAACAATGTGTTAATTAACTCAGTGGGGGTATCATTTCACAGTGGATACTTGAGTCAAATCATTATACTGTACACTCTAAATATCTTGCAATTGTCAATGATACCTCAATAAAGCCGTAAAAAGAAAAACTAGAATAACCCCTAATGTCACATCCACCAAAATCCACACCTAGTCAGCATTCCTCATGACCTGTAAAAGGGTCTGAGATTTCATACAGAATAAATTGGACAGAAGAGGAGCAAAAATAAACTGCTGTAGAGTTGGATACTATGTTTTTTTAGGCTTTAACCTGTGGTCACCTAGAAAGAAAAAGCTTGATTTAATGAACATTTAGGCTGTTTGTGAACAATTAGGCATGTTAGTCTTTTTTCTCCAGTATCAAAAAGTTAACAAATTACAAAGTGACTTTTCCAAGTTAAGAGCAGGACCAAGACTAAAACACGTCACCCAACCCCTAATTCAGCTTTCTACTACAACATGCTCCTTTTCTACTCACAGTTAATTCAGGATACCCCTCAATGACAGTACACGTGATAGTATCTGTTACTAGTCAGTGAAATAGCTTATATGTTCATCAATAAATTCTAAATTCAATTTTTTAGTACTGCTAAGGAATTTATCTTCAGGTAGAGGATTCTAAAATTTAAGATGATTTAATTCATCATGAAATACCAATTAAACACAGCAGTTAACAGCATCATACAGGAGAGAATACACAGAACCTGTCATCTGTAATTTTCATGTCCTAGAGATCTCACCTTGAGCAGGCTATAAAATTCTTCTGAGAGCTTCTGAGGGATGTCGGGAAGGTTACCCCCTCGGATGTCATGCCAGGCAGCCCCGTTGCGGGGTAACGACTCTGCGCCAGCAGCCACTGCAATTGTTAACCCCAAAGCAAATATGTCTGCTTTGGGAAGGTGCTGGTAATCCTGCCAAACAGAAGACAGGAAGGCCAGTTAGTCTACTGAGTGGATGGGTGAGAGAGGTTCATTTGAGAGCATGTGCACACTCAACAGACACAATGGAGGTGGTTGTGGCTGCAGTTAGTGTTTTTTTCCCAGAGAGGGTGGCACACAAATCCACCTGATGGAGCACTAACACCACTGTGCTGTGAAGAGTCTATGGCAGAATCTTGACACCGTTTTGCTCTGCCAGGCTCAGAGATACCTGCAGCAGAGGTTGATCATGCCAATAAAAGCTCATCTTTTTTTTTTTTTTCTGATTATCATGCTGGATGAGGTTATACCTTTCCTAGGTTATACCTTTCCTGATTCCAGAGGTAGATTCTGAAACCTAAGATGATTTAATTCAGTATGAAATACCACCTAGAAGGTGGCCCAAAACTAAAAGTGACTTCAGTGGCAGAGCTGCTGGTGCAGAAGACTGGTAGCATGACAAAGGTGGGCGGACCAATAAAAGCTTACTTCCTAGTAGGGGATCCATGAACTTAAGAATTCTGAGAAATACTATAACAGTAAAAGACTTTCACAAAGAACAATGTAATACTGATTAGTGATGGATTAAGCTTGCTTTCCTCATGCTTTTTTTTTGAAAAGCTTTTCCTCTCCTATCTTTGATCTCCATTCTGAATAGGGAAAAGGACAATATACTTTTCATTTCTGATGCTGTGAATCTTCATTTGAGAGTCAGAAAGGTTTACTGGGGCCTCCCTGGTGGCGTAAGGGGTTAAGCACAGCACTAAGAAGCAATGTGCAGCCTCTACAGCATGAGTTCATCCAGGACAGCAAGGGAGCAGCACACATGGCTCAGCAAACCCTCCTGACTCGCCCACTGCTCCCCTCAGCAGTGTACTTAGGTCAATCTGCCTGTTCTGTTCCCCACTGTCTCTGGTGAATCCTCTCACCCCCTCCCCACTCCCTGCATCTCTGGCCTGTACCCCAGTTCTTGTGGCATAAATATTTAAAAAAAAAAAAAAGAAAGATTCATGGATTATAAAAACCCTCCATCTCCATAAAAAATAATAACAGGACAAAACACAACAAAGCAAAAATGGACAATTATAAACCAGAGACATCCTGCAGGGAGGAGGCGGAAAAGGGATCAGAGGGAGGGAGGGAGGAGCACAGGGGACTGAGGTGATGGTGCACGGGTGCCTTGGGGAAGGAAACTCTATGGGGACTACACCTGGGGGGATGGGGGAAGCAAATAATGTTTAAAAATGAACAATGATGTAAAAAAATTAATTAAAAAAATGGATAATGGGGGGGAAAAAAAAGGAGGAAAGAGCACAAAAGTCCATGGTGATGGTCCCTGGGTGTCTTGGTGGTGGTAATGTTATGGGGACAACACCTGAGAGGAGAAATGAAACATTGTACAAAAATGAACAACAATGTAAAAACAAAAAACAAACACAAAAAACAAAAAAACCCTCCATTTCCCAGATGGGCACCTCCTGCAGAATCTCATTAGCCAGGAAGCGACTGTCTCCCTCTTCCACTTTGGGTTTGCTTATTGATGTCACGTGACCCAAGTCACCTAAGGAAAACAAAAGAGAAAATTGAATAAGCAGGGTTATCAGTATGAATTGTATGTGGTGAGAGTCTACTGGCCAGGTGTCCGACACACTCACCTATTTTATAGATCACCTTGGCAGAGAGAAACCAGTCAGCTTCATTTTCGTTCTCTTCTGGGCCTGCAGGAGAGTCGCTCGGCATCTTATGACAAATGAAGATGTTACCTGAACAAAACACAGAGTTGACGCATTGACTCTGAAGTTTTTTCACCCCAGGTTTTCTGTATTTGACATTTCAGCCTCCCTCCTTCCCTCCTCTTCTGTGTACATGTAACAACTACCCTAGTTCCTTTTCTTCCATGGAGTGTCTCATACCTCTTCTGAACAGTGTTTGATAATATCAGTGGACAGGAAACTGATTTTAGACATTTCCTCATTGTCTCAACAGGCTGGTGGCCTCAAAACAAAGAAACAAGCCAAAAGACACAAAATAGCTTGGACAGTTCCGGAGTTCACATTAATGAGAGCCAAAACCTTCCGTTGCACTCATGTGGACCAGCGCTGAATTAGGAAGAATCCAGCACTGGCCATAGCTCAATCAGGATGTGGCCAGTATATACAGTATTGGCCTCACTATTTAGGAGTCTTTTCCCTCTATGTCCCCTTGGCCCAGGGATGGAAAGGTGCAAGTCTTTTAGCTAAAATTTTTAAAGCAAATGAGTAAAAGCGGTTCTGCCAGTAAACAGTTATCTCTGGCACTTGGTAGACACAAACACAGAGATCCTGACAATGGGGAGAGAACTAAATGTGGTAGGAGTGGCAGTCAGGAGCCTACTGACTAGGCTTGATGTCCAGGTGCGCCAGGCCAGAGCTGTGGATATACTTGAGCCCAAGGGAGGTCTGCAGAAGGATGTCCTTGAGTTTCAGCTCTTGGAAGTGATCGCCTGTCTTTGTGTTTTCAGATATGGCAGCCTGCAAGCTCCCACCTGGGAAAGAACAACAGCAGAGTATTCCCATGAGAGGAGAGAAAAGGTAGGACTCTTACAGATGAAACAGTAAATATTCAGTAACTTCTCAAGAATGACTTCAGTCCAACAAGTGCAGATTAACTCCATGTCAGTATAAAGCAAAACCAATGTCTGGGCTGCTGCCCAGTTTCCTGTCAACAGGAGTGAGCTCCAATTAACATTTTAGTTTGACCACATTATTAACCAGAGACCAGTTAGGCCTAGCCCAGCGGCTACCTGTTGGTGTTGATAATGAACCCCATGTCAGTGTCAAGCTCATAAAGATAGGCCATTAGTAATTTTAATGTAATCTAGGTTTAATTCCATCAAAAATATATCAGCAGGGCCTCCCTGGTGGCGCAAGGGGTTGAGACACAGCCTATGAAGCTGGCCACAGCCACTGCAGCATGAGTTCAATCCGTGGCCAGGGAGCAACCTACATGGCGCAGCAGACCTCTCCTGTCACGCCCGCTGCTCCCCTCAGCAGTATGTTTCATCAGTCTGCCTGTTCTGTTCCCCACTCCATCTCTGATAAATCCTCTCACCACCACCACCCCCCCTCCCCGCACCTCTGGCCTATACCCCAGCTCTTGTATGCATAAAAATAAAATAAATCTTTAAAAACAGAGGAAATGAGAACATTGATGATAGCTGACCCAAGGAAAATGCAAAACCTTAGTATACACCTCAGTCCTAGTTAAACCACAGTAAGATCTTGATTCATCATCATGATCAATAAAAACCAAGGCTGGTCTCATCTGACCACATGATCTTGGATACCGCAATCCTAAGGCACTAGTAATAGCCATGCTTCTGAATCCTTCATCTCATTTATTAGCATTCAAATCAGAGTGTCCTGGGTCTCCCTGGCAGTTGTAAAGCCCATGGCTTCACCCTTCAAGTGGTCTCAGTATACTGGGGTCTGTGGTAATGGTGTTTTAAGGATACTTTAAAATAAGGATTTCATGTGTAAAATTGAATTTAGAGGTTGAGTTGTCATGTTAAAGCTCAAGTGGAGAAAGGAGAAGAATCCAGCCCCTTCAGAAACACAGAGAGCTAAAATTTCTTTTTTTTTATGGGAATCTTCTTAGAAAAGAATTTAGGTACTGGAGAGGCTATTAATGGGAAAGGAAGAATAAGTAAAGAGTGTGCCGGAGCTGGTTAGAAACAAAGTCACCTGGAAAGTAAGCTTGCAAAAGGAGGCTAGGAGGGGTGACGAGGGAAGGCTGCCCTGTCCACTGGACTCTGTTTCCTCCTAGCCTGGGTGTCCCTTTAGGACAGGGCCCACTTTGTACTCGGCTTCCCTTTTTCAAGGTCTGGCATGTAATAAACATTTTCTGAACTGAATTTCATAGAGAAAATAAAGATTGTGGCAACAGAGAGAAATAAAGATTGTGTCAAGCGCCCCATGAAATGTTTGCAAAGAGCATACCTGGGCCTACCTTAGCATTCTTTCATAGGTCCTTTTGGATTCTAAGCAGGTATTGCTAATCCCCTAAAGAGCTTGCAAGTATTAATAAGGATAACTAGGTCTGTGCTGGGAGAACTTTTAATTAGTTAGAAACTCTAGGTAAGATTAAAGTCAGCCAAGTAACAACAGTAGGAGTTAGCATCCCTTTATGCAAAGGTATTAGAATATCCTTATTTTTCTATAGGTAAAGCCAATTGTCTGCCTCTTATAATTACTGTTCTTTATTAAGTAATGTTCATATAAAAGTATGTGTTTGTAGACACAGAAATCCTGAACGGCCTGTAAACTTCATCTCTCCTCTCCCTTGGTCACCCAAACCCTTAATGCCTCAACCCAGCAACCACCTGTGATGCCAACATTGTGCCCTAGAAGGTGGCGCCAGCCCACAGGGGCTCTTCTCAACTATCTTAGTGAGATGAGCCACAGAGTTGCTCCCTAAGATAAAATGTTGATACCTAACCCATTTGGCAGAAAAAAAAATAAACCTAAAGAAAAAGACATCTATGGTTTTTTCTAGGGAGGCGAAATAGCCAATAAAACAGAAAATGCCTTCTAGCAACAAAATATAGAAAGCAGAGCAACAATTCCACTGGATAGTCTGCTGATACTTTTGTATTCACAATCATGATTTTATGTTGCTATCTACCACACAAACACATGTCCTGCTGGTGACATGGTTCTTGTTTTTTTTTTTTTTTTTTTAAGATTTATTTATTTATGCATATAGGAACTGGGGTTGAGAGGATTCACCAGAGAGAGCGGGGAACAGAACAGGCAGACTGACTGAAATACCCTGCTCAGGGGAGCAGCAGGTGAGACAGGAGAGGTCTGATGTGCCATGTGGGTAGCTCCCTGGCTGGGGATCACACTGGTGCTGCAGTGGCTGGCAGATAGCTTGATAGTGCTGCGTCTTTAACCCTTCCGCCTCCAGGGAGGCCCAGTTCTTGTTTATTTGATGGAAAATAGAACCAATATTCACACCTCCCCACAGCAGAAGCTGCCTTCTGGGTGTTGTCTGACTCAGCCTTGAGAATCACCACTCTAGGGACTCACATTCTGTTCTGGAAGATGTCACAAGAAAACGCTGCCCTGGGGCTGAAGGGAGGGGATACTCATCCAGTCCTGAACAGGTTCCCATCCTGGTGTTGCAGAACGAACCTACTACTGCCCAATTTCAGATTTCTGAGGCTGACCCAGAGGTGACTTCTCGGGGAGCCTGCAAGTGCAGGAGGAGGAGGAGGATTTGATGGTTTGGGCTTAGGAGGGGCAGTGAGGAAGTGAGGTGACTGCTAGATGCCACTTATGAACTAAGCCTCTAGCCATCTACTGCATAGTTCAGTTAAAGCCAGGCCTCCCTGGTGGCGCAGGGGGTTAAGTCTCAGCATTATGAAGCTATCTGCAGTCACTTTGGCACAAGTTTGATCCCCAGCCAGGGAGCTGACCCACATGGCGCAGCAGACCTCTCCTGCCTTGCTTGCTGCTCCCCTCAACAGTGTATTTCAGTCAGTCTCCCTGTTCTGCTCCCCACTCTGTCTCTGGTGAATCCTCTCACCCCCACCCCCACCCTGCCCCCTGCACCTCTGGCCTGCACCCAGCTCTTGTATGCATAAAATAAATCTTAAAAAAAAAATAAAGCCACACCTGCCCATGCCCAGCCTGAGGGCTATGGGAGGTGACAGGGACAGGGCTAAGGGCAGGGAAGGGCAACAAGGGGAGAGGGGCAGGCACGAGAGGAAGAGGGGGAAGGAAGGGGGTGAAGAAATGAGGCGCTGGCTACTCTGCGCCCTCACAAATGGTCTGGATGACTAATCCTTTATTCAGAGCCTCAGGACAAAATCTCAACATAGCTTATCCATGACTACAAACAAAACAAGGCACCAGGCATGCTTTATTTTCACCATCAGTTCAGATGTAAAAGGTTCAGTGTCTGTGAATTTTGATAGCAAAGTTCCATTGTAACTAGCGAGTACTCAGTGACATCAGTGGACTGCTGTGAGGGACAGATGATGAGTCTGCACAATTCGTCCTCTAATCCAAATCCTGTGAGGGCTGATATAGGCTTACCTTACCTTACTCCTCCTATGTCCTACTACCTCAGTCTCGTGAGCCCCCGCCCACTATCTGCTGGGTCAGACCCATCCCCAAGGGATGCGTTGTTTGCCCATGTGTACATGCTGTTCCCCTAACATGCTGTCCCCCTACTGGTATCTTCCCTCTACTCCTTCCGCAAGGTCTGATTCACGTCTTGGCTCCTTTATAGATTGTTCGGGCTACTCTGTGATTTTGAGTTCTTGGATACTGTGTCAATTTCCAAATTGCTGCCTTAAGCACACAATACTCTGTCATTGCACAGTGAGATTAGGTGATACCCTGATGACCCTGCAGCTTGTGGGTGCTACAGCAGTGGTGGAACCCAAGTCTGCCTGACGTTAAAGCCTAGCCCTTCCACCACACGATGCTGCCTGTCGCTCACGTTCATCTTCTCCGAATGCTTTTATCCAGAATTGGGCCTTCTGACTGTGCACCAAGTGCCTCTTGTATATGTGCTCACTGTAACAGAACAAGTAGAGTAAAGCTCCTTGAAGATGCGACTTCCCTTATCTCTCGCTACACTATTTCTCACCCTGGAGCTTACAGTGCCCAGTCTATGGGAGGTATTCAAATGTTGAAAAGAATTAGAAGGTGACTTGTAATAGGACCTCTCCATCTTATTCTTTTTGAAAAATTTAAATATTTACATTGTCCCCAAATCAGGTTAACATCAGTTTCGCTTTGCATTATTGATTAAATTGAGTTACTTAATATTAGCTTTGTTAGTAGCTGAAAGTCATGGAAATAAAATCAGTGTTTTTATAGAGAGGGGGAGGGTAAAGGTAGGGAATCTCGGGTGGCAATAAGAGAGAATCAGGAAGAGAAGTGTTATTTAAAGTCTCAACTTCTCAATTACAAGTATAAGGAAAGGGTCCATTTTTTCTAGAAGAGATATTAGAAAAAGGGGTTTGGGGTGAGCCTATCAGAGAAAATCCACCAGTTTCCCAGTGAGGGTGTAAAGAAACCAGCTGTGAAGAAATAGGACAGGGTCGTGATCTGGCAGGATGCCCAGGCGGCTGTCTCCAGCCCTTCACAACCCTACCTGCTACCTCCTTGCACACATCATTGTGTATGCAATGATGATGCTTCACCACTGGTCACTATCCTCGGAAGTCAGGCTGGACATATCTGCCCAGGGCCTTCTGGTGGTTACTAACACTACTCAAAGGCAGACTGTACTCTCAGAGTCCCCCAGCACAACTGTGGTCAGTGCCGACTGTTGCTAGGTGACGGCAGGCTGCTGCTCCACGTGGTAGCCCTTTTCTATTGAACGTTGGGATGAAAAGTAACACATGTGGTATTATTATTACCTGCTGTTATGTCACCCCTTAGCACCATTAGAGACATATGAAACCACTCTTTGGGATATAAGTAGCGAGAAAAAAGTTTCACCTGTTCTGTGTATACGTATGGTTGTGACAGACCCAGAAGAACTGATCAGGACTCACTGATCTTCAGTACCAGGACCCTGGACCTGCCTTTGGTGAGAATACAACTAAGCTCTAAGGGTAAAAGGCAACAGAAAGTATGAGCAACCCCCAAACGCAGGAATCCACTTGAAAATCAAAGTTGGCTGTATACATCTATCCCCCCTCCCTAAAATCAGAGGACAGTGGCTTACATAGCATAAAAGGGTGAGTCGCCATTCAAACCACTAGGGTGAAAGTTTTCTACGTAGTAAATAGTGATGGGAGAGTCAGCTACACACCACCTTGAAAGAAATTTGTGATGGCATAAACCTGAAGTTCTGTTTCCATTCAACTCATCTCCCCAGCTCTCTGCTGCCGGGCAAGACTAGTTCAGACGTTTTAGGGCTCTTTCCCTCGCATACACTACAAGGAGGAGGTGTAGTATATGCCAAAGCTATTTTTCCAAAGACCTAGAGATCCCTCACCAGTCTACACACTTACCATTGCAGTATTCATTCTGAATGATCATGTGGTCATCTTCAGCCCACGCGGAATAGTAGCGTACCACATGGGGGTGATGTCCAAGCACCGCGTGGGCGTAAACTTCATGCAGAGCCAGGCTCCTGGGGCAGAAAAGCATAAAGAACAATGGCTCAAGGTAATAGACATAAGAATGCTTTAAGAAGACCTGAAGCATTCCTAACAGTGGCCAAGTGCTCTTGGAGCACTCACTGATTGCTTACGATTTTGTCATGTAATCTGCATAACCACTCAGTAAGACACACTGGCAAGGAAGAGTCTTCCAAAAGATCCATGCCCAGGGCCTCCCTGGTGGCGCAGCAGTTGAGCGCTGGGTTGCGAAGCTGCCCACAGCCTCTGCAGCACCGGTTCATTCCCCAGCCATTGGGCCAGGGTCCCACATGGTGCGCAGACCTCTCCTGCCGCCCACTGCTCCCCTCAGCAGTGTATTTCGTCAGTCTGCCTGTTCTGCTCCATGCTCTGGCTCTGATGAATTCTCTCACCCTCCTGCGCTTCTGACTATACCCAGTGCTTGTATAAATAAATAAATAAATCTTTAAAAAAAAAAAAGTGCCAAAAAAAAAAAGATCCATGCCCAGCCCACAGACAAGTTGGTGATAGTAGATAAAAACCTTGGTTATTCTGGCATCAAAGTCCATGATTTTTTTTTCAACATGGCATAAGAAAAAAGGAGTCTTTTTCATGCCAGTGTAATTATTAAAATTATGTTGACAAGAAACAGGTTTGCAAGACCAAATTTATACTTTCAGTAGATTTCCAAGGTACTCACTCATTTGATAACCCTGCAAAAGGTTCCGTAGAGCGTTTTATTGCATAGACACATCCATCCAGCCTCTTGATGCACTTGTAGACTGTCCCAAATTGCCCGACCCCGATCTTTTCTACCTCCAAGAACTCTTTCTCATAGCGGGAAGCCATGTTGGTTTCTCGTAGGACACATCTCTGAAATATTTTAAAAGGTTAAAATAATTCTTCCTAACATGTGGTGAGCAGTAAAATGGAGGCATCTCATATGCTGAAATTTCTCTAGGTTTTCAGAAAGACATTTGAGGCAAATCCCTTGAATTCTGTCTGTGTCAGCATTCATGGTAGCAAGAACCTCCCCACTTCTCGGTGTCTGTAGAACCTTCCATGTAACTCTGCACTGACACTTCTCTATTCTATACTATGACTGTTCTGTTTTCCCGTCTGGTCATACCAGGTGTCTCTGTATGTTCCTAGTGGGTACACATCTATGCAACACCCAGAACTACTGTTCTCAGTGGAAGGAGTCGCTGGGATCTGGTGGGACATATGAAAAAAAAAAAAAAAAGTCCCCCTGAGAAATCCATAGTTCTGAGCAGAGGCTTTAAGCCTCTTAACAGCTGGTCACTACCTTACCATCCTGACCTCAGATACCAAGTGAGCCAGCTCACCATCCATATCACTCTCCAGCCACCCTCCCCCTTTTACACCTGAACATCAGGCAAGGGGATGCGTTCCTTTTTGTGGTATTATCACCATCTTAATGGCAGTTCAAAGTCCCGCTAACTCCATGAATTTGTTAACTTAGCCATTCTTCTATTGACACTTACTCCTCCCCATATCTCTTGCTTTTTTCCATTACAGTTAAGACTGTAAAAACAACTCTGTAAATATTTCAGTATTATTTTTTAGGTTAGATTGTCAGATAAGGGATGCTTGATCAAAGATGGTGAACTTTGTAAAAAACAGATACTGACACATTTAAGAGCTAAACTTTTACATATAAACCTCCGACGTTATGCCATTTTTGTGTTCCACTTTCGGACCGTAAATATCTTGATTTTTTTTTTCCTCTTCACTTCTTGACTTTCCCTTCACTTCTCTACCCCAGGACTACAGAATTTTTCCCATAATAAAAGGTAGAAGCAGTAGCCTTTAATTTAAAAATACTCATGCTAATTATTCAGTAATATACATATCAGACACCGTTTGATAGAGTAATACCTAGCTAAGAATACAGACTCTGTTGAGAGTCCAGATAAATTCAGCTGCAAAGCACATTTGCAAATCTGCCATGTACCCATGGAGAGGAGCAGAGGGGGGAAGGAGCGATGGGGTGGCAGCTGGACCAAAGGACTGTGCTCACCTTGGCAGGCAGCCCTTGCTCTGCCCTGCCTTCCCTGGGGTCAGCTTCCTCACTGGGGGAAAAAAAAGATAGCAATGCATGAGTGGCGTTTCTTGGCCCTGTACTGTCCTAGGTTTGAGAACTATAGATGCTATTAAGCAGCTTTTCAATTTTATTTGGGGACAGGGATAGACAAAAAATTTCAATGTAAGAACCTACAACAACATGAGAACTATCAAGCAATATCACAGACCGCACACAATTCATTATTTCAAGAGTAAAAATCTTTCCCAGAAGAGAGGCCTAAGCTGAGAGTCCAAGAACAAGTAGGGACAAGCTGAGAGAAAGGAGACGTCTGAGGTTTTAGGCCACAGATGCTGAGAACTGGAAGCACAGGAAGCCAGCTCAGAAGGCAGGAGGATCTGGTGCTTCTCACTGCTAGGCCACCACACTCCCCCGCAGCACCACAACATGCACCCCAGCATCGCCACACACCCCCCAGGGCCACCAACCACCTCCCCCCAGCACCACCTCCCCCAGAGCCCGCTTTGTGTTAGGTTCACAGTACATTCCATGCTCCTACTCTGGCTAACATGATTCCAGGTTCCTCTCAGGGAGCTGAAGGCTTGAAAAGCGTCCTCTTTAGCAGATGCACTTTGAGTCTTTAAGGAGGAATTCAATTTCTAAATTAGCCAGTTATAGATTTCTCTTCTGGACAAGGACAGGGTGGTGGAGGATGTTACACGCATGAAAGTCAATTGATGCTGGACTTTTGTGACTTAAATTTAACACTGCACCTTTTTGAGAGCCACCGCCAGGCCTTTGGGTCTCCCAGAAGCCTGAACTATGTCGTATCCTCATCCTCCACTTCCCCTCACCACCCTTCAAGGCCATTGGTACCATAAAAAAAATTAACACTATATTCTAATACTTTACAAGAAAAAATATCCTTCAAAAGCACTAAGTGATGTTACAATAGGGCCCCACTTTCATGGCTAGGAATTCAAGTAAGTTGTCTTTCCCTGCTAACTTCAGTAAGAGATAAAACTATTAGCTCTAATGATTTCCAAATCCTAAAGAGTTAAAACCAGTGGGATTCTGGGTCACAAAAGTGGACTGGAGTACTCATGCTGATGTCCCTTCTTAAGCTCCAAGAGACTGAGGAAGCTTGGCCACAGAGCTGGCTAACACAGTCATTGACTTGGCAGAAACAACGCCACATAACACACTAACTGCTCTGCGGACTAGATTGCTGGTGGGACATTTATTTTGCTGAGGACACACAGAGCAGCGACCGGCCCATTTTAGAGGCACTTCGCTCCCACAAAAAAGCAATTAGGAGAGTCACAGTAAAGAAACAGCCCTGAGTAGTGCACGCAGTCCTTCATGAGGTGAGCTTTATTGTCCAGAGGCCTTTGGGGAAGAGAGCAGTGGATTTCCATTCTTCAGCACCTCCGAAAGCACCACTTTTTCTCTTCACCTATCCTGTCACCTGCAGGGAAGCCCAGAACCTTTCTCTGTAGCTCACTACAGCCACACAAGCCGCCTCAGAAAAGCAACATACTCACTGAAATATGACCCACACCTTCCCCAACTACAGCTTCCTATAACCTGGATGCAGTTCCATAGCCCACTCCACTTCCTAATGGAAGTCAGGGTGGCTCAGAGCCGCCTGCGCTCCCATGGGGAGGCCTCCACGCACACTCCAGGGTAGAGAGATGCCAGCAGCTCTGGACAGAGCAGATCAAACCAACACCAACATTTCGAGAGGAGGGACTATGTCGCCTTATGCCCAATCCCACTTCAGATGCGCTCGTGTGCCTTCTCTTACTCTAGCACTCTTCCTCCCACTTGACCCCAGTAAGATCTGTCCCCAGAAGTCGCAGGCAACAGCACACGTACAGATCGCCTCGGGTTTTCCTCTTGCCACCAGATTGAAGGAAGAGTTTTCTGTAAGACTCCGGGGTGAAGGGATTAATGTTGACCAGCGCCAAGGAGGTCATCTCATCCTGGACGGGGACAGGTGTGAGTCGTAGGTGCTTGGAGCCTTTGGGGGGAAGCTTCCCTGTGGAAGAAATCACCGACTCACTCGGCAGGCCCTGAGGGAGGACAAGAGGGGTCAAGCGTGAATGAAGGTTCGTCTCAGTGAGCTCCTCGCTATGTGAACCAGAGGGTGATATTGCAGAAGGGCGCCTGGAAGTCATCTGGTTCATCATCATAACTGGGCCTCTTATGAAAAATACAGACTCCCAGTGTCCTCTGGATTTCTGTGGAATCGACACAGGAATCTGAGCTTTGGTTAAGCTCTACCTCCTTCCCCTGGGCCATTCTGATGGCCAACTGTGAAACTTGCCAATTCTAGTCCCACCTTGAGCTTCTGAAGATACAACTCAGGTAAACAAAAATAACTCTAGAAGTCCCAGTCCTGAAGTTCTCAGGATTTCTGTTTTAACTTCCCCTCCATTATCCATCCAAATATTTGCTCCGTTGCCTACCACGCAGCAGCTGTCAGGCTGGGTGCTGAGAGTGGCAGCAGAGAATCCCAGCTCTTAAGGATTGTATTTGTCAGCAGTTCATTAAGGTTTCAGAAATAGTCACTTTGTGAGAGAAAAATTTCATAGACAATCTAAACATGGAAGGCATTTCTAATGCCACTGCAGATGGAGCACCCACTGAGAAAAGGCCCATGAAGTGGGGTAAAAGAAAATGAAAAACACTACTCTGAGCCCTTAAGATTTGGGGCTTTGCAGTGGTGATCCCTAACATGCCTCTGAGTAGAAAAATATGCAGGACTTACCACCCCACTGGGGTCCAGGAAGAGAACATGGACCAAACCCCGACCAGAGCTAAGCCAGAGGGCAGAGGTAAGAGGTCAAAGACAAAGAATTCTGAGGAGAGAGCAGAAGCCATTATGACCTAGGTGTGCGGAATACCTGTGCGTGCCCTTCAGGAGCACCGCAGAGCCTGGGGCCACAGGGATGAGGGGGCCAGATAACCCTGCAAGGAGGCTGTCACTGGAAGCAGAAGCCAGACTAATGCAGTTCACTATATGAAATGTAATTAATTAAAGGCTGTGAGGCTGCAAGGAATAAAAATGGAACTTTTTCTATTCAAATGATGAAAGCCACAGTGAAGGCAGCTGCAGAGCACACACACGTCATCCAACATTTTCACATGAAGAAAAAGATGTCGGCTCTGGAGCAAGTGTTTTTACAAGGGTTTCAGCTGTGGCTGGTAGCTCAGGGAATACCAACGGCCAGATCCAGCCACGGGTGACAAGCCCACAATTCTCTCGAAGTTAATCGTAAGGGCTGCTGAGTATTTGCTCAAAATGAGTGAAATATATATTCTTTCTCAGTTGTCACTGTGATTCATGAAGTGAATTAGAATTATGGTAAACCATAGCCTGAGGAATGTCTTTTGGTCTTATTTAATTTTTAAAGAATATTTTGAAGTAACATTGTATTATAACATTAGATACACTTGAAGTATAGGTCACTGAAAATGAGTGTGTACACACTGCAGTAAGCTCACCACTCAAAGCCCAGTTCTGGGCCTCCCTGGTGGCACAAGGGTTTAAGTCTCAGTGCTATGAAGTTATCCTCAGTTTGATCTGCGGCCAGGGAGCAACCCACATGGTGCAGCAGACCTCTCCTGTGTTGCCTGCTGCTCCCCTCAGCAGTGTATTTCAGTCCGTCTGCCTGTTCTGCTCCCCACTCTGACTCTGGTGAATCCTCTCACCCTTCCACACCTCTGGCCTCCACCTAGCTCTTGTATGCATAAATAACCTTTTAAAAAAAAAAAAAGCCCAGGGGCCTCCCCGGTGGCGCAGCGGTTGAGCGCTGGGTTGCGAAGCTGCCCGCGGCCTCTGCGACGCCGGTTCGATCCCCAGCTGCTCCCCGGCCACCGGAGGAGGGTCCCAGATGGCGCGCAGACCTCTCCTGCCGCCCGCTGCTCCCCTCAGCAGTGTACTTCGTCAGTCTGCCTGTTCTGCTCCCTGCTCTGGCTCTGGTGAATTCTCTCACCCTCCCGCGCTTCTGACTGTACCCAGTGCATGTATAAACAAAACAAACAAACAAACCAGCAAACAAATAAATAAAGCATGCCTCTAAAAAAAAAAATTAAATTAAATTTTAAAAAAAGCCCAGTTCTATCCTTTACAGCTGTCCCTCTCCCCACTTCCCTTTTGGTCACGACTAGTTGGTCAGAGAGTCCAAACATTTACTTTTTTTTTTTTTTTTTTTTTTTTTTAGTTTGTGAAAGGTTACTTTTTTATTTTCACCACCTGCATATTAATCTTTTTTTTTTTTTTTTTTATAAATTTTATTGTTATATTCCCCATACAATTGCAGCCCCCCCATTCTGACCCCAATCCCTCCCCTCCCGCCCCCGCCCCCCTAAAAGTGTCTCTGGTTCATAGTTTTTTGTTGATTTTGATTTTCACTTTCTTATAGTTATTCCAAACATTTACTTTTGTTTTATATCATTCATCTGGGTTTTTCCTGTATATCACATGTGCATGAATTCATATGATGTTTATCTTTCTCCTTCAGAAACAGTTTCATCACGCTAAATATGGAAAGTAAATGCATCTCTCACATATGAATGGGGTTGGGGGGTCCTGAGGAGACAGCAGAAGCCATTCCGACCTAGGTGTGTGGAATACCTGCTGTCTCCACAGGGAGTGTGGGCACACCTCAGGGACATAAAAGAACCAGAATATTTTCAGATGAAAGGAAAGACAAGTACTCCTCTTGGGACAGACAGCACCAGAATTTCTAGCCTGGAAATGCAAAGGCCTATTTTGTGAGCTGAACTTATAAGGAAGGCTATTAATTATGTTAATATGGATTTTATGGCCAACACAGCAGAATGACGAGTAATCCTTTCGAAACTTAAAAGAACAGAGTTTGGGACAAGATTTATGAAAGGACTGTCAAAAAATGAAGCAGTGAAAATTTCTAGAAGGATGGCCAGGTTGAAAGTATGAACATGCTCCGGAGAGTTTCCAGAATAACAGCTTCATTAGGATGAGTGAAAGAGAGAGGAAACTTGGTGTCTAGCTCCGGACTTCTAGAGGGTGGCAACCTCCCTCGAAGACGGCACCGCAGTGTCTCAGGACTGGGGAAGACTGAGAGGCCCTGTTGATACAGTTAGTCCCCTGGCGCTCAAGTCCCTCCTACAACCTTCTACACGTGGTCGTCAATTGGCACCCCACACGCATAGCCACGGGGACCCCTCCACTTCCCAGGGAGCTCTTCTATCTCTAGATAATGTGCTCGGAAGTCCTTATGGTCACTTCACGTGATTTCTGTCCCCTAGCCTTGGGCCACACTGGACTCTGCCAGCCCTCCTTCCCTCTGCATCTGTGCCTCTAGCATAGCACTACCAGGTATGCATGTCCTGGACTGTGACCCCGACCTAAACACCTTCATCAGGTGTACTTCCCAGCTGCAACCCCAGCCTCCCCCAGTTCTGTTCTCTGCCTGCCCCTCAAATCCTGGCATTTCCAGGCTTCCTAACTTGGATCACTTTTCTTACTCTGGCACATAGGCTACATGAATTTATTCACCTATGGCTTCGAAAACATCGTAAATGCTGAAGATACCCAGATGTAAATCTCTAACTTTGTTTTCCTGGGCTCCAGACCCACTTATCCTATGATTTATACAACATCTCAGCTTTCTCCAAATCCTTATATCCTCTGGTGTCACCTTATCCCGACTCAAGGTATCAGCTACTCAAACAAGAAGCTTCATGGTCCTCCTGGATCTTTGCCCTCAGCCCCTCCATCAAGTCAGTTACCAGCTTCTCAGTGTGCCCCCAGCCACAGTGGTCTTCCTTCAGGCCTTTCTCCTTTCTCAGGCACACTGAATTCTGCCCTGCCACCAGATGCCTCCGGCTGTGCTCCAGCCTCCCTAGGGAGGCCAAGATTTGTCACAAATGCCCCTGCTCAAGACGGTTTTATGGCTCTCTCCACACTTTCAGGATAGGCTCTTGGCCTAGCTCATGCTCCTGCTGTCTGCACACTCTTGCACAGACCACTGTCACGCTGGCAAGTACTCAGCTTCCTCCCTGGTAACTTTTAAGATTTATTTATTTATAGAAGAACTGGGGTACAGGCCAGATGCACAGGAGGGTGAGAGGATTCACCAGAGACACAGTGGGAAACAGAACAGGCAGACTGATGAAATACACTGCTGAGGGGAGCAGCAGGCGAGCCAGGAGAGGTCTGCTGTGCCATGTGGGATTCTCACTAGCCGGCCGGGATCAAACCCGTGCTGCAGAGGCTGCGGACAGCTTCACAGAGCGGAGCTCAACCACCTGCGCCACCAGGGAGACCCCCTCCCTGGTAAGTTGTTGGAGCCTATCCCCCTCACCTTGAGTTCTCAATACTGTCCTCACAGGCGAACTCCACCTCGATTTCAACACTGCTGTCAAATACAGCTTTCTTTGGAAAGGGTTTCCTAATATCTGGGACTTAATTCCCAATTTTTTCTCTTTGTGTTCTTCCAGCATACACGATCTGAACTTTATTGTTCCAGGTGTGTTTGTTTTATCTTCATTCATTTTGCAGACACCGTTGGAACCCTAAGCGGGTGTGCCAGCAGGCCCCCGGCCAGAAGGCCACAGGCCAGACCTTCAATTCTATCTGCTTTCTGGCTGGCACACCAGGGCTTTGGTAGAGATTTAAATGTTGAAATACACATGCCGTGCTGTCTTGCCAGCATCCTTTTGCTCAGAGCCACATTCTCTAATGCCCATGTACCAAAGCCACGCCAACTTCAACGGCCCTTCCTGTGCTTCCTTCCCTTTTGTTTCTTTCCACCCTTCCCCACTGAGGAGCATCTGCCCAGACAACTCTGAACTCTCTTGAAGCCCCTGACAGCATCTATAGACAACTTTCTCTCTCCATGCCAGACTGTCAGCTCTTTGAGGGTAAAGACTGTGTCTTATGTTCCTGGCCTGCCGTGGGTTCTCAAAACAAACGGATGTCGGATCGGTTGGTTATGGAACTATTGAAAAAGCCCCAGAGGACACCTGGGGCTATTGGTTTGTCTGCAGTTCAGACAGAGCTCAGTATTCCCTGCGCCAGGTGGTGCCCAAACTCAGCAGGTACTAAGGACACCCAGTGACAGTGCCCAGGCTGCCTGCTGACCCCGAGCCTGCACTCCAGGGCACCCGTCTGTCAGAGGCAAGGCCTCCCCACCCTGGCTTTCCCAGTGAGAACGATACAGAGACCAAGGGCGGGCGAGGGAGAAGAGGCAGAGAAGGTGTCAACAAGTCCCGCCTTGCTCACGTGATAGAGGAGCCTGTCCTCCTCCTGACAAAGAGGGTAGAGGACTTGTTCTGAGAAGCGCAGCCACAGACAGACATGGGTGGAAGGAAGTATCAGTAAATAGTCACATAAAACTAGAGCCCTGGAAAGAAGTCGACCCTGAGATCAGGCTCCTGGCCCGTCCCTGTGGCCAGCAAGCCGCCTCCTCTTGTCCTGCCGGGCTTTGGCGTCTCCTGCACCCAGGCCGAGCGCGGGAGTCTGGTGTCCCACAGTGCCCGCACTTGACCCGGCCTGCTGCCCACACCTGTACCCGGGCCTGGGGGGCGTGGCTGGCACCCAGGGCTTTCGGAAGACCCGCCAGCCAGACGTGTGAGTCTATACGCTTTTGGGCATTTTTAACTCTTCCTCATTTTCACCCAAAATTATATACTCAGGGTATGTACTCAGGATTTCCAGCCGGCGAGGGAGTCTGTCCGAGAAGCCGAGGCGCGCAGACCCCTGCCCCAGGGCCCACCCCAGGGCGCCCTTACCTTGGGGGTGAAGGGGCTGTCGCAGGGCCGCGGCTGGTTCCATTTGTCCGGCGGGGCAGGCGTCTCGGGACATTTGAGCGAGCCCAGCTCGGGGGTCCTAGGACCTCGCTGGGGACTCGCGGTGTCCTGCGATGTGTGGGGTTCCCCGGCGTGACTGCGGGGCGTCCAGGGAGGGGTCCGCTTTGCTTCTGGGTCCTGGAGGGCAGACCTCTGCGGGCTCTGGGCTTCCTGCTGCCCTTCGTTCTCACTGTCGTCTTCACAGCAGGAAAAGTTCAATTTCTGCCTCAGATCCTTGTTGATGCCGCTGTCATCCATGTCGGCCAGGGAGCTCCTCGACTCGGGCAGGGAGGCCCTGAGGGGAGGCCCTAGAGCTGCGGAGGGAGGTGTGGAGGCGGGCGAGCTGGCAGCCCGGCCGCCTCAGCCGCCCTCCCGCCGCCCCGGAGCTGCAGGGAGGCGGCGATGCTGTCTCCCTTAAGTGCCTCGCCGCCGCGAGACCTCAGCTTATCCCCATTTCCATTCTGATTAAAGAAAGCCCCAGCAGCCCTCTGAGCCGCTAAATCCAATTTATGCGCAGAGCTCCTCGCTTGCCCGCAGAAGCGCCCAGAAACCGCGCGCCATCACGCAGCGGAGAGCCCGCTGGCCGCCTCTCCTCGAGCGGCGCTTTAAAAATGCCCATTAGCCAACTTGGGAACAAGCTCATTATTGGAAAGAAGCCGTTTCCACGCTTTACCTGCCGTTTACAAACAGCACCTTCTCCGCTCTTCCACGCCCGCCCGCCCCGCGGCTAGCAGGTAGCGCGCACCCGGCATCCCCGCCCGCCCCGGCACGACGCCCCCGGGGGCCTCCCGCCCCCGCGGCCCGCACACCTGCCCTCCCGCGGGGCCTCCCGCACCCCCGCCCCGGACTAGCGGGGAAAGCTTCCAGGGAAGCGCCGAGGTCCAGAAAGACCCGCCGCCCGGGACGCGCATCCTGAAATTGGCATCGCTCTGCCCGCGAACGCCTCATCGGGTGAAACGCGCTTTCCCGCTGCTCGGGCATCTTTGACTCACGTCCTTCAGCTGCTCCCCGCGAGAGGCGTCCATGGGGAGGTCAGCTGCGCCGCGGGAAACGTGAAAAGCCGCCGGGATCACTGGGGAGGAGACCCTGCGCGAGGCCGGACCCGCCCGCACCCTGAGCGCCCTCGGGGCGACGCAGGAAGCGCCGGAAGCCGGGAATTATTTACATGATAAACGCGGCCCGGGGAGGGGGGCGCCGGGGAGCCAGCTCACCCCCTTCCAGGCCCCGCGCGCCCCGGCAGGCGCCCACTGTCTCCCCGCGCGCCCGGCCCTCCCTCCTCGCTCCCTGCGCGGGCTGCGCCCTGGCTGCACCGCGATGGCAGCGCACGTGGACGCGCCCCGAGGGGACCCGCTGCCGGGAGCGCGTTTTTTTCCAGCTGGAAACCTCCTCGGGCCCGGCCTCCGCAGGCTCGGCCGTCGCCCAATCCTCCCTTTGTCCGCGCTGCCCGCCCCGCCCACCGGCCCCCCGAAGCCTCCGGCCGCGGACACGCGGCTCCTCGCCCGCCCGGGCCCTCCGCTCGCCTCCCGGGGAGACCGCGCAGCCCCGCGGGGCCCCTGAGAACCGCCCTCCGCAGGGAGGGAGAAGCGCCTCGCCGGGGTGCTGGACCTGGGGTGCTGCTTCTTTACACCGGCGGGTCACGTGGCCAACCCTCTGCGCAGCCCTGGTGCGGGTGGGCTTCCCCAAGCCCGGCCGAACTGCACCCCAACAGTGCGTGTAACGTGGGCCTGCGGGGGTCACCGTGCATGGCGCACCCTCCTCTCTGCCTTGCCAGTCCCCCCCCCGATTTCCAACTGCTCTGACGCTCCCCCCCCTTACAGTTAAGACCTCAGTCTTCCCAGCGGTTCTCTCAGAACTGCGTCACTTTCACCTGTCGTCTCCCAGCGGATGGTTATGGCTCAGGGTTCACCGTGGGAAAGACTCCCTTGGGGCAGAGTAATGACCTTGATAGCCCCAGGGGTCCCTGGGGGGTGCACATTTTGCCTCTGGCCCACAGCTTCTGTTTGGCACTATTTGGGGTGTCACCTTTTACTCTTTGTTGTTAATCTCTTCATATTCTGAACGTGTTAGGTAACTGGGTTAATCAGGCATTTTATGCCACGAGCCTCTGTAGCCATCACCTGTGGCCTCGGTCTCGGTTTAATGCAAAAGGTGCTTGGGAGTGTGGGCGTGGGGCGCGCGTGCCTGATTGTGGACACCTGGAGCATGCGGGGGCGTGCAATTGTAAGTGCGCACACCTGAGCCTGGAGGCCGGGATGGAAGAGGACAAAAGAGGAGACCACAGACCAAGCCAGAAGAGAGAACGCCAGAGAGAGCCAGAGAAGGCCTGGACTGGGGGCAGGGAAGCCTCTCTGGTGGTGCAGGGATCAGGTCTCAACTTAGCACGCGGTAGGTTCTCAGTAACTATTTCTAGAGGGAATCAAGTGGATGCTCTTCATTTGTCTAGTCCCCCGGTGGATAATACTGCAGAATAGCCACATTTCACGAAGCATCAAATTTTAAACTTTCAACTACAATGCAAATTTAAGGGGCCTAAAAGGGAGATATGCGTTGATTTTAAATAACTTGATTATTTTAAATACACGTTCGTAATTTCTACGTCATCTGTGATTTGATCTGGGCTCAGCATCTGTAGTGTGTCATTTATTACACTGTTCAACTTGGGTCACACTGCTGAGTGCCTGCAGTCAGATGATTTGGGAGGAATGAACAGATAGGGCTGATGTTATAGCTGGTGTGATTTAATGTATAAAATAATTGGTAGAAAGCTGGGAGTCTTGATGAAATCAGGTACCCAAATGCCCTGAGTTCTGGGTCCTCTTGGGGTCTAACTGTGAGACAAGTAAGGATGTAGATTTCTTACCCAACTTCTTCATCTCCATTCATGTTCCTAATTTCATCCTATTATAGATTGTCCCACAATCTAAACTTCTCTCTGGACCACTAGTATTTGCTTTGGTTTATTTGATCATGGAGACAGGTGACCTGTTTTTACCTGGAAGGAAAACTATTACTGTAGAGAGAGTGAAGTGGCTTAGTTATATAAAGGAATTGATTCTTCTGCAGTCAGATGCAATTCCTGTATGGTTTGAATGGAAAAAAAAAAAAAAAGCTCACATTTAAAAAAAAATCTGAAAAAAAAATGCTTTCAGATTTCACCTGAAAAAATAATTGTCAAAGAAATAGTTGAAGATTTTTCAAAAGAAGAATGAGATTAGCTCTCCTAGTTTTAAAGTCTTTAAAACTTTAAAGTGTACCTATATAATATGCATTTTATGTCTATATAATGAGTGTGGTACTAGTGTAAGAATAGGTAAGGCAGTGTTGAATATATAGATTAGTAGTGTAGTAATTTAATATTGTACTTTAAAAGGGATTATAAATGATAGGAAGTGAAAGAACTATCTAATAAGTGCATAGCAATTATTGGTTAACTACTCAATAAAAAAAGAATTTAGAGTCTACTTCATATATCAATACATTGACTCAATTAGAAAAATCAATTCATAAATAACTACATGAAAATAAAACATGCCTGTTAATCAAATTTTGGGGTAGGGAACAACCTTCTAAATGTCAGAACAACATAAGAAATCACAAAAGAGGGGCCTCCCTGGTGGTGAAAGGGGTTAAGTCTCAGCAATATGAAGCAATCCACAGCCACTGCAGCAAGAGTTTGATCCCCGGCCAGGGAGCTACCCACATGGTGCAGCAGACCTCTCCTCTCTCCCCCGCTGCTCCCCTCAGCAGTGTATTTCAGTAGATCTGCCTGTTCTGCTCCCCACTGTCTCTGGTGAATCCTCTCACCGCCCCCCCAACACATACACCTTGGCCTACACCCCAGTTCTTGTATGCATAATTAAATCTTTTTTTTATTTTTTTTTTTTTAAATTTTTTTTTTTTAAAGATTTATTTATTTATACAAGCACTGGGTACAGTCAGAAGTGCAGGAGGGTGAGAGAATTCACCAGAACCAGAGCGGGGAGCAGAACAGGCAGACTGACGAAGTACACTGCTGAGGGGAGCAGCGGGCGAGGCAGGAGAGGTCTGCGCGCCATGTGGGACCCTCACCGGTGGCCGGGGATTGAACCGGCGCTGCAGAGGCTGCGGGCAGCTTCGCAGCCCAGCGCTCAACCGCTGCGCCACCAGGGGAGGCCCTAAATCTTTTTTTTAAATCACAAAAGAATTGATGTTACATTGCATAAGACTTATAACTTCTACATTTCATAAAGGAGTATGAAAACATATTTAATTGGAAGTGATATTAACACAAATCATGCCAGGCTAACAATTTACATTCTCACTGCATTGTGAACTCATGCAAATGGCTAACACGCACATAAGTACCCCAAAGTCTGAGTGAGCACAGGCATCATGGACACAGGGTCCTGAAGAGGAAGAACAGGTCACCAGCACTTACTCTGAAACCATGACTAGATTCAGTCACAAAACATTCACTTAAGACAAAATCCATTTCATCTGACAAACTAGAGAAAAAAGATTTTAAATGGCAATATCTAATTTAACAAGAGTTAAATGAAAATGATACCCTTACATGCTGTGAACTGACAATCTGGCAGTACAATCAAGAACCTTAAAAACATAGTACACTTTGACCCAGTCTTACCATCCCTGGAAGTGTGTCAAAAGTTAGCAACCTGAAGGGCTGGTTGTACTTATCTGCCTGTCACCCCTCTATATTCTATATTCCAAGTCTTGCCTAATGGCTGCCTTTCCTGCTAAGCTTTATGTCTGATGAGAAGGGATGGCTCTCTTCACATCCACCCAGCATCTTGTACATGTAATATATGGCATATAACATAATATATGGCATATAAATAGGTGCCTCCTGTTAGCTAAGAGTGGGGGCCCTCCCTGGTGGTGCAAGGTGTTAATCATCAGCACTATGAAGCAATCCGCAGCTACTGCAGCACAAGTTCGATCTCGGGCCAGGGAGCTGACCCACATGGCACAGCAGACCTCTCCTCTCTCGCTCGCTGCTCCCCCCAGCAGTGTATTTCAGTCAGTCTGCCTATTCTGCTCCCCACTGTCTCTGGTGAATTCTCTGACTCCCCCACTTCTGGCCTGTACCCCAGCTCTTGTATGAATAAATAAATCTTTTTAAAAAAGAGTGAAATCAAAGTAAATACCCCCCCAAAGAAAGAAAACCAAAAAGAATTTAAATATATATATAAACAAACAAACAAACAAAAAAACAAACCAGAGTGAAATTGACACAACAAAATAGGGAGAAAATGGTGAAGTCAATTTTCAAGCACACATGCAATGAAAACAATGAAATTATGCATATAAGACACCTCTAATAGAGTGGCAAAGTGTTCATGTTTGTTGGATAAGGGAAAAAATAGAAAACCAGTATCCAGTATGATTTCAACATGCAAACATTGAAAAGAGATACATCTAAATCACTATTAATGTTAAGCTATACCGTGTGTTTTTACATGCCACAAAGAATAAAAAATGCCCGAGATAAGGCGTCTAATAGAATAACCCCTTACACGACTGTGGCAAATCAACCACCCACGCAGAGGGTCAGACAAGGCACCTTGCTTATCTGAACGTTGTCATTGGATGGAGATAGGCAAAACTTCTCCCTTCAATTTGAACTAAAAGCCAGTGTTCCTGCTAGTTTGCATTCTGAGCACACACCACCAGTGCGATCCAAAGAACCTCAAGCAGAGAATTTCCCTCACAGCAGTCTTTGGATGATGGTGTCTCCAGATGGTTGATAAAGGCAAATACAAATCTCCTCTGTGAGAACTGACCTCACTGGGGCCAGCGGCAATTATAAGTCGCCATAGCTGTGTTAACAAGTGAAAATATTTGCTTTTGAGTTTGCTGAAATAGGAAAGGTAGAATCTTAGTGGGGATCTCAGTGTGAGTTTATAGATCAAAAATAATGTTATATAGTGTATTTTATAGTGTATTTTATAGGCATTACATTTTAACATTGTAGATATAGTTCTGTAATATAGATCTATTTTACATAGCAGATTTGTATAGGGCAATGTATTTGGTGTTGAGGGAAGTAAAATAATTATATTTAAAAATATAGATAGTGGGGCCCTAAGAGTACTCATTCAAAATATAACATCATCCCAGGTCTCTGAATTCCACTGCCTCGTCCATCCTTCTTTTCTTCACACACACCTGACCCCCACCCACCAGCTTCTAAGCACTAAATTCATTTTGTTTCCTGACCATCCTTGTCCGGGGCCGTGGCAGGCTATTGCGTAGCTTGAAATGCATGTAGTTAACAGGCAGCCAGTAAAAGATGCACATGAGACACTAGGGCCAGCGAAAGCCACACAGTCCAAGCATGCAGAACAGGCAAAGCGCAGGTGCAGCATAAGGTTCTTAAGGGTAGGCAGAGAGGAAATAAAGTTCCGCTTTGCAGCACATCAAGGGGTGTCAGCCTCTCATCTCATCCCCAGCCCCTCTTCCATGCCTCTCGAGTCCCACTGGACGGGACAGGTGGTGCCCAACGTGGGGCACGGCCACGAGGGAATCGCTGAGGGACCAGTCTCCGGGTAGGCCGGCTGTGTTTTGAAGGTCGGCTGACTGTCCCATCTGGTTACCGTCGCGTTTGGTCCGGTTTCTCTCCACCCCCACCACCCCCACCCCGCCCCCAGTGAATCATGAAGATGCAGCCTGTACACCCGCGGATCCTGATGTTGCTCTTGATGACCCGGACCGTGACGGTGTCGGGGGAGATCCGCTGGGCAGTGACACGCCATCCGCCGTTCCTGCTTCCTGTCCATCGATATAGTGGCATGTTTCCCCAGATTTATGCCACAAACCTGTCCACCGGCCTTCCCTCTGTTCCTTTTGACTCCTCGGCCGCAAATGTCACCAGGGTTTGGAACTTCACGAATGCCCTCCGCTTCCAGATGATGCTGCCTCAGGCGAACTGGACTGCAGACATGCTGATACTAATTCATCGCCCTCCGCAAAAGAAGAGCTGAATTGTTCTGATGTTCCATATCAGCTTCAATCATGCTGGAACGTGTCGCGAGGACAACTGGTGGTGATCATGAGGATCCCTGGCACACTGCTGCTGCCAGTCAACGTCAGCAACCCGGCCACAGCGGTCATCATCCGTAACAAAAGGGATGTTGGCATTACAGCGGCAGTGGTCATCTCGAATTCTGTGGCCACTGCAAATGCCATCAATACCTTGTTGTTGGAGGTGGTTGCATTAACTACCCAAAATGCACTCAACAATCATATTCATGCAAGGATGCTAAACCTGAATCAGCAGATAGCCTTGCTTCAAGAAGAAATTGATATGTTTATGTTGACCTCTCATATTGCACGCATGCCTACCTACCAATACTCTTGTGTTATGCCGGTTGTTTTGCATAATCATCAGCAGTTGTACAAAGCCTTAATGCTGCCCTGCGTGGCCCCTGGAGCCAGCAATTTCTTAACCATACCTTGCAATTGGCAAAACAGGTTGTCACGATCCACTCCGCCAGGGCTGAAGTAATGCAGCCTGGAACCTTCACGTCTTGGCTTTCGAAAGCCATGTCTTTTGCTAGGTTTGGAGTGGTCTCGGCCTTTTGGCATCCGTGCTGTTGGGCAGCCTGGTCATAGCGCAATGCCTTCTTGTCCGCTATATGTGTCGCCGCCGCATCCTGCGCCTTGCCTCACTGCAGACGCAACGGGCCCCTGGACAGCAGGAGCCAATATGGATAAACATAGCTCTCCGCGCCCTGTAAGCCAATGACAGGTAAGAAGGCGTTGCAGGCATGCCAACCTAAGACAGCGCTGCTGTGCGGACACAGCAGTTGCGATGACGGGTAAGGATGATACTGTGAACGCCTCAACCTAAGACAGGCCAGGTTCGCACATAAATGAAGAAGGGGGAGATGTCCGGGGCCGTGGCAGGCCATTGTGTAGCTTGAAATGCATGTAGTTAACAGGCAGCCAGTAAAAGATGCACACGAGACACTAGGGCCAGAGAAAGCCACACAGTCCAAGCATGCGGAACAGGCAAAGCACAGGTGCAGCATCAGGTACTTAAGGGTAGGCGGAGAGGAAATAAAGTTCCTTTTTTGCAGCTTCTCATCAAGTGTGTCAGCCTCTCATCTCATCCCCAGCCCCTCTTCCGTGCCTCTCGAATCCCACGGGTCGGGACACATCCTCTAGTGAAATCCAGAAGACACAGAAGACTGATTTGATGGCTGGGGGTAGAACCTCTTTCAGACTGTGAATATGTGTCGAGAGGGGTGTCAGCATCATTAACATTTCTGAGTGCCTACTGTGTATAAGATAACCTGTAGGAGACATGTCTGTTTTCATTTGCTTAGTTGACAAATGTGTGTTGCTTAGTTGACAGGTAAATGTTCTATTACTTGTCAGGCATGTGGCTGGTGAGCTGGAACAATATATAGTGAACACTGGAAAAGCTTGAGGGTTTGGACATTTTAGTCTTCTGTTCATATAACATATTGATTGGGATGGATTATGGACTTATTATCTGGTGTATATATACAGCTTGAGTGTATTCAACATGGGGTGCTAGGGTGGGAGGGTTTCACACAAAAGATCAGGAAAAGCAAGCCCCTTGGGGGACAAAGAGAATGTCAGAATTAAGGATTTTCCACAACCCCATCTTATATTTAGAAAAAACATTTTGATTTTTTTTTTTTTTGGCGTAGAAGAATTGGGGTGTAGGCCAGAAGTGCAGGGGGTGAGAGGATTCACCAGAGACAGAGCAGGGAGCAGAATAGGCTCTGCTGTTCTAAGGGGAAATACACTGCTGAGGGGAGCAGTGGGAGAGACAGGAGAGGTTTGCTGTGCCATGTGTGTCAGCTCCCTGGCCAGGGATCCAACTCAGGCCATAGTGGTGATAGAGCAGAGATGTAACTCCTAGCCCACCAGGGAGGCCCTAGAAATAAAATTTTGAATGCCTCATTCCTCTATGTAAAATCTGGTGCCTAAGTAACTCTTTCAGAGGAGGGTGGGAATAAGGAGTAGGGGTAGGGCCTCCTTGGTGGCTCAGGCAGTTGAGCACAGTGCTGTGAAGCTGTCCACAGCCTCCACAGGGTGGGCTCGATCCTGGCCAGCCGGGGAGATACCCACATGGCGCAGCAGACCTCCTGTCCCACCCACTGCTCCCCTCAGCAGTGTGTTTCAGTCTACCTGTTCTGTTCCCTCCTCTGTCTCTGGTGGATCCTCTCACCCTCCCGCACATCTGGCCTGTACCCCGGTTCTTGTATACATGAATAAATAAATCTTTAAAAAAAACACGAAGAAGTAGGGTTAAGTAAACACTATACTAATAGGGGAGAACCAGGAGGGGAGAGAGACTTGTTCAAACACCCAAGATCCAGCAGGTCCCAGCAGTGAGCTGCTCTCAAAAGGCCCCAGGGGAAATCTATGTGACTTGCTACCCAGGGGGTGTTTATAAAGATTCATATCCTCATATCCTACGTGTCCTCCAATAAAAATATGATGTATCCCCCTTCCCAAGGAGATAACCAGTGATTGCCCAAGGCTGCTGTTTCCAGGCCATGATCTATGATCTAACAATCAAAAATTTATTTATCCAACACTTTACCTTAAAGAATCCCTATTCTGCTTTCAACCTCCACGCTGTGAAGCCCTGAGTCACTGAAATGGGTGGGAGGACCCAGGCGCTGCCTAGCTCACTCGGGGGCACATCAGACTGGGTTACACCCCACAACTGCTCTAGACCAAATAGCAAGCCCCCCCCCCAGCACCCCCACCTCCTGGAACAGCCAAGACTCCCTTCTTAGGCTCAGCTCCCGGCACGCGTAGCTCTGGCCACACATCCGGGATTATGTAACACGCATCTGTCATGGGGTATGTGACCAGCGGCTTTCAAAGTAATGGTGGCGCATAAACATTCACGGGGGGACAGATGCCCACGGAATCCTAAGCGAGAAAGCACCGCGACCCCGGCACAGGTAGACAGAGCAGGTGCTGCGCGCCGGGGGCTGCTCTCGAGCACACCCTTGCAGCCCTGTAGTCTGGAGCCCGGCGTGCAGCTCGGCGGAGCCCGCGGAGGGCGCCTCTCCCGCAGGCCCGCGGGGTCGGGGTCCCCTCGGGCAGGCCGGCGGGCGGGCGGGCGGGCGGCGGGGCCCGGCGCGCGGGCAGGTGCGGGCCGGGCAGAGCCCGCGCGGAGGCGCGCGGGGCGCGGGGCGAGGGGAGTTCCCGCAGCCCGCCCCTGCGCCCGCCCCTCGCCGCCCGCGGCTCCTCCTCGCCTCGCCATGGTGGAGCGGGGAGACGCGGCGCCGCTGCTGCGCTGGGCCGAGGGCCCCGCGCTCTCCCCGCCGGCCGCCCCGGAGCCGCAGGCTGGAGGCCGGGGCTGGGGCCGGGGCCGGGCGGCCGCGGAGCCGCCTGGCAGGCGGGAGCCCGAGGCGCCGGGGCCTCCGAGGTGCTGCTGCAGCCGGGGCGCCTGCCGCTGGGCGACGTGGAGGAGGACCAGGTGGTCGCCGTGTTCGTGGTCACCTTCGACCCCCGCTCGGGTGAGAGCCCCTCCGGGGCCGGGGGCGCGGAGAGGGTCGTCCCCGGGCGCTGGGGGGCGGGGAGGGGCCGCTGCGCGCGCACCCGCACCCACACACCTGCACCCCCACCCCGCCCGCGCGGCACCTCGGAGCAGGGCTGAGTGCCCCCGCGGGGTCCCGGCGCGGGCCCCCCGGCTTTGTTCCCCGCTCGCCGCGACCTCGCGCCCCCCCCCGCCCGCGCCCCCTCGCGCCCCCTCCGCGGCGTTTGCGCCCCGGGGGAGGGAGGGTTGGGTCGGGGCCGCCGCACACTGGCTTTTGTTTTCTTGGCCCGCAGGGCTGAAGGCTTTTCCCGGGGAGAGGCGGGCCGCCCCCCAGGTGAACTCCGAGGCCGCCCGGAGCTGCCTGTTCCCCGCGGGCCGCCCCCCGCCCGCTCCTCCGCCGGCGCCGAAACTTTCCGAGCCGCCAAGTTCACTTTCTCCGGCTGCGTTACTGGGAGGGTGGGGGCGGGAGCCCCGGGGCGGGAGGGGGACTGAGCCGGAGCCCGCTTGTGGGAGCCTCCTCGGGCCGGCGCTCCCGGGGTCTTTGCAGAACTGAAAGGGTTTCCCGCTCGCCCTTTAGCCCCCGGGACGCGCGCGCCCTGGGGAGGTGAGCGGCGCGGGGCTGCGGAGGTGAGGGACGGGGCTGCTCGCGGGGCGCGCGGGCGGCGGGCAGGGGCGAGGGGGTGTCGCGACCCGCCCCCTGCCCTGGGTCCTGGAGGGGGGCGCGCTGCCTGCGCGGCTCTCCCGCGCTGGAGAGCCCAGGTGTGGCTTTTGTCCGGAAGGCCAAAGAAATTGCTGGAATGTGCAGCGCCTGTTAGTGAAGAAAAAGATTTTCCCCTTCCAGGAGTTCCCTTCCTGGGCCCCCAAGGAGGGGCGTAGAGCCCCCTGGTGAAGAGCTCGGTGGGTGGGTGCCCTGGAGGGAAGAGGCCCGGATCTTGAGGTGGGGGTTGGGAGGTGGCAGGAGATGCGGCCGGCCGGGCAGGGTGACTTGACTTGGGTCAGGGCTGGTAAACCGGCAAGACTCAGGAAGACTTAGCCACAGGGAGTGGGGGGAGACTAGACCTTTCTGACTAGGACTTCCTCCCTGGCCCACTGCCAAAGCTTTGCAAACTTTTTTGATGGTGACCCACCCTCTGAACTTCATGTTAAATCACCACCAAGACACCCCTGTGCGCTCATGCAATAGTCCTGATCCTTCCTCCAGTGCAGTGCAACCTGGGATTTCCTATTCCTCAGAAAATCATTTTCTGCTCATCACAGCTGCTGGTTGACTCCCATATGGCTGGGACTCCCAGATACCAGTAGCTTGAAAAACACTTTCTACCCTTCCTTATTGCTGGATAAAAACCAAATACTTTGTTGCTAATAATATTCCTTATGCCTCATCCGCCACAGCCCAAGAGATGCCAGCTTGATATTCCTTATGGGAAGTGTTTAAGAGCAGCTAGTAAAATGGAAGCACCAGCAGGGGCTGACAGAGCAGTGGGGGCAATGTGGTACCCCGAAGGGGAAGGAGAGAAAAGGCACCAACCACAGGTGGAGGTGATAGAATTGAAGCCATGGCAGAGCCTGGACCCGCCTGGTGCCCGTCAGTCACAGCTGACGCAGATTTGTGTCTATGGAGAGCGTGTGGGTGATGCACGTACTCACAAGGGTGTGAGCGTGCGGTGATTTTCAGATTCAGGTGAGTGTGGAAATAAGGCGTCACTGAGGCTTGGATACCTCCTTTCTGCAGGCTTTTTCCCAAAATGGTGTTTCATCGAATTCTAATCATCACCCTGTCCTTTGCTCACACACCCAATTTGGGCATGAGCAAACAGATCAGGGAGGTTTAAGGTGGAAATGTTAACTGGCCAATAAATGCCCATATCTGAATTGTCTTTCTGGTGTACCACACTGCTTGGCCCTCTGCCCCCTCAGTTTTCATCATTAAATCTATCCAGGGAGTGGACAGGAGAAAAGGGGGTGGGGGTAAGGGAGAATGTTTTACACTTTGGCTGCTAGTTGGCTGGTTTGTTTTGGAATGGAAGTTGTTTCCTGCCCATAAATTTGTTTCTCTCTCTTGTCATGTATCCCAGTCCAAAACAATACTTTGCATTCTTGAGAAACATTCTGATGGTATCTATGTACGGCAGAACTACATGGTACATCTCAAAGTAGAAGATGGAATGGGTGAGTGAATGAACGAAGGTGTTCTCAGGCTCCCAGGCCTCACAGGTTAGCACCAAACCAACCTCAGAGGGTGCTGGCGCCAACTTGGTGTGATGGCGGAGGAAGCGGAGGGCTGGAGAGGCGGTTGCCCATAGAGCTCGACGCCTCAGGGGGCCAGACTTCTGTCTCCTGGTGTTTGTTCCTTGGCTCTGCCGTGCACTGCTGTGGGATCTCAGTCCACCGAGACTTGGGCTCTTCCTCAGCCCATGTGGCCAGAAGCAGTACAGTGAGTCCTGGCTGCTTTACCAAACTCAGCACATCGCAGGAAGTCGGTGCACAGGAGCGCTGCGCTGGTGTTCCCTGTCCTGGCTGTCGGTGGTCTTCCCACGCCTCCCACCTGTGTCCTCCATTTCCCCGTGGGCTCCTCCCTTCTCCCCAAACTTTCCCTTTTGGCTTACGGCCTAGGCCATGAGTACTTGGTCTTCCTGTACGCTGTGGGTGGGAACTATTGAACTAGGCATGTGTCCAAATCTGTGTGTGTACATGTGTGTGGATCTGGGGGTGGGGCGGGGGAGGCTGGAGGGGGAATCCCAGCTCTGGTGCATGTGTGAGGGCTGAGTGGTCTGTGCGTGAGCACGGGCACGCACACCCAGTGGTGCCAGTCGGGTGTATGGGAATAAGGTCAGTTCTTCATGTGCTCAGGGACCAGTTTGGGATAGCTGGGTTGGGCCTTGGGAGGAAGAATCAGAGAAAAGGGGAGAAGCATAAAGAACGTAATTTTCATTGGCCCCGTGGTTGCAAGTCCGTGGCGGTTGGGTTTAGACTGACACGAGGACGAGAGACTCAGGACACTCTCGGGCTCGATCCCATGCACAGGCTCTCTCTGGAACATGAGTGCCTAGGACGGCAGCGCCGGCCATCTGGGCCACAAAGCCCCTATTGAAAGCAGGCCCAGATGCTAACTGCAGGCGGGCCAGGGAGGTTGGCAGCCAGGCCGTTGCTCTTCCATTGTATCCAACCCATTATTTAGGGCCTTGATTTTTTATTTTGTTCTTTGGGTTTCTAGTAAAATTTTCCTTCCTCTGCTCTATTGTCATCCTTGGAAATCAGCCTGTTCCCTCCTTACTCCGCCTGCTCCTGCCTGAGGGGATGACAGCTGCCCGCTGTGTGAGGAGGCCCTGCAGGTGGGCATCCAAGTCACACCTGAGACGGCCTCAGTAGATGGTTTCTTTATAAGAGATGCACTTTGAGCTGCTGTAGTTTCCCCAGAGTCACCGTGTCTGGGGAAAGTTGCCACACCGTGTGGGTTTGGACTGGGACAGCTCAGAAGAGAAGGGAATTGGTGGAGGGGAGAAGAACCTGCTGGGGTTTTTTAGATGTCTGTCGCCTGCCTGGGGATGAAAACCCACCTGGTCCTCCCTCAGCCTCCAGCGGGTATCCAGATTACACCTACACGCCTATTTAGTTGGTGCATCTAAATGCTGCTGTATTTGTGTCAAGTGAGTGTACTCGCGAACGCGCACAACTAATTTCTAATGGCCGTGCATCCTCATGAAGCCCACGGAAGACAGGTGTTTGAAATCATGGAGATGGTGGGGGCACAGTGAGAGCAGAGGTGGGTGTGGTGTCCAAGGTTAACCTGGAGCGCCGCCCAGGTCATCTGACTTGTGCAAATAAGAAAAGGCTTCGGCTGTGGGCGGGAAAGCGACCAGGAGGGATGGGAATGGAAAACTGGGTGCATACATTTGAGATGTAATGACAGACCTAGAATGGCCAGCTCCAAGATGGGCACGGCCAGCTCTGCTGGCCAAGGGGAACACATCTCTAGATTTGTCTAGTTCCCATCAGATGTCAGCGGAACACAATTGTGGTTAATTTCATTAATAAGCTGCTGGCCAAAGCTTTCCCGGCTGTTGGTGATTCACCTCCTTGCGGTTTGCAAGGAGAAATCAGCTGGTCGCCATCTGCTGTGAGTTCTGTTTCTTCTCAGTCTGTGTTGAGGCGGGTAAGAGTGGGAATCCTAACACCTGCCAGTTAGTGCCCACTCTGTACCAGGAACTATGCTAGAGGCTCCGGACCTTGTCTCTTATTCTGCCAACCAGCTTCACTGCACCAGTGAGAAAAACAGATGCCCAGAGCTGATAAGTCGCCCTAAATGGCATGGCAAGGGGGGCAGAGCAGAGAGGGCAGCCGGCACGGCCCGTCTCTGTTGCTGGCGCCTTCCCCACGCCACTGTCCGGTGGAAAATGATATGGGGTCTGGGAAATGGAGAGTTTTTTTCCATGTAAAATTAATGCATTGGAATTCAGCCACGGAGAGGCATATGGCTGACTTGCCACCACCTGGATTCCTTTCCCCGGCTCCCTCTTCCTTTGCGTTGGCTCGTCCTCCTGAAGTGGTTCTAAGCGTGTTTAACACCCAAAGTCAGGTGACGTGGGCTGTTTACTTTTTTGCCTTTGGAGGCTGAACCAGATCATCTTTTGAAGTCTCCTCCATCTTGGGGTTCAGTGGCCCCCTACTGAGGTAATTATGTAGAGGAAGGCGGTGGTGGGGCCTGGAGCACCCCTGGATTCTTGCCTTTGTTCCTAAGACAGGATTAAATTAGGGCATAGGTACCTACTGATGGAAGAAGCTGCTGGAAAGACTTGGGGCCACGTGGGAGGCTGGGGAAATTGTACAAAGCTTCACCCTTGATGTGCTGCAGACATTACTTCAGAAATGAAGACCTCGAGAGGGTGCTCATGACTGGGGCCACACAACCCCGGGAGCGAAGGAAGAAGGAAAGTCACACATTTCCACTGCAAAGAGCTTGTTCGAGAGCATTCTTTCTGG